TTAATTTCAAATAACCACAATTGAAACTAAATAATATTTCATTCTTTCTTGAACATACAAAGTTTTTAAAGGAATCTGTTGTCATGAAATTATGTCTACAGTTCCTTAAATAGATATCTTTTCTTAGTCCTTGCTCAACAAATATTGATGGTTTGACATATTTTGATATTCCTTGTGATCCAATTTATGATTTTCCAACGGTTTTCCTCATTTTTCTTGGGACACTCTGCCAATATATTGCTGAGGTTCAATAACAGAACTCCAAGATGTAAAATAGTTTCTAATCTCATCCCAGCGCCTATACAGACTACACAGTGGGACCCGGACAGAAGCGTATTCGTGGATTTGTCAGGGGGGCGTACTGGGGGGGCTTACATTTTCTTTCTGAACCCCCGGCCCCAGAGACCTGAAAACCCCCTTAAAACCATAGATTTCACTGATCTAGAGGGGACTGAGCCCCCATTGCACCCCCCCCCCTGAGTACGCCTCCGGTACCATAAAACTGTGGATTATGAAGACAGCCCCCTCAACAAAGCATTTGGAGTGTACTGCAGTATTTTGCAGTACTTTAACCGAGCAGCGGACAAAAACATCTGTTGGATTAAACTATTATGTTAAAGATATTCTGGAAGATTGATTTTTTTGGACATACTATACTCTGGTTTTGGTTGTTACATAGGAATATTTTAGATTTGAAGAGGTGATGAGGAGGTTTTAAAAAAAAACATTCAAAAAATTTCTTGGAAAGAATTGTAGAAAATAAATTATTTAATTTTTGACAAATATTAAAATATGACATTCAGTTTACAAGGGTATTTCAAATTTTTAAAACACAAAAAAATATTTCTTGCAAATGAACGGATTCTTTCTTTACATACAAAAAAACTGGAAATAAAACACTCCTCCTTTAAAACGATAATTTTTTTATGAAATTGTTTTTTAAATCAGAAAAAAAAACAATGTAAAATTATTTCTAATCTAAAAAAAAGAGGTGTTAATGAAAAAGTCACCNAAAATTTTATCAGGTAAGATCTTTATTTTATCATAATTTCAAAAATTCTTCAAAATTAGTAATAAGAGAAAATTAATCTTCAGAATTCAGTTTTCAGAATATTTTATTTATGTTTTCTGAAATATTGTTGTTTATTATTGAGGAAATTGAAGGAAATTGAAGCAATGTTGAACGATGATAAAACATTAAAAACAATTTAATTAAAAAGTGCATTTTGTAATTGTATTTTTTGTAATTATATCTCTACTTTGTTATCGCAAAACGATTGATCAAATTAATATCAAGTTAAGTAGAAAACTTATTAGCAGAAATAGTCAGTTTATTTATTTTTGTAAACTTTCAAATTAGGACAAGAAGTTTTTTGTCATAGATTAATAACAACCCAGCTAGAACACTAAATGTCGTCTTTTCAAAAATTAGGGGTTTTTCATTCACAATAAACCTAAGGTAGAAGCCTAAAGGAGTTACGCCCATGCGGCGTAGAGCAAGCTCTCTCTCTGTCTTATAATTCTTTGCAGAATGCGCGTAACTCCTTTGGGCATCTTCCTCAGGGTCATTGTGAACGAAAAACCCCTACATCATGAAAAAAACGACATCCAGTGTTATATCTGTGTTGTTATTATTTATTTTGTTTATTATTTATGTATATATATAAGATAGTAATGTCTGTTTGTCTGTTTGTTTGGATTTCCGATCATAACTCATAAACCCCTGAACCGATTTGCCGCCAATATTTGATTCGAGAATATTGTAGAACCACGAAAATGTTATTTGCTTGGTTACCAATTCTCAAATTAGTGGGTTGACTATAAACAGTGAACTCTTGTTTTCCAAACTTAGCTGGGTTTCCAAGCTTGTATGTTTTCATGTTCAATGGGTGGTAAGAGAAGGATGGATTGTATCACGAATGTAAAAAGTCAAAACTATATGAGCTACGAGGTCACTCAGTCGTCTCAGTATAATATATAGATTAGACCTTCCTCTTCTGTTTTGTAGAGTGTGAAATAAATGAGAGTTGTTTGATATTTATAAGAGATATATTCTTTTATTCTATAATAGTTTTAGAGATAGGTTTTCATCCAACCTTACCGTTCTGGAGCTTGTCCTAATCTCTTCTGCCGTTCTTTTATCATTTAAACAAAGAAATTAACTTAATAATTCGTTCATTTGATTGAGCTTTAAACATTAATCATAAGGAAAATGTCAAATACATTTCTTTTCTAATATATGTTTTAATGTGAAGGTAAATTGAACTGTATGTGTACCTCAAAGTAATTCAATTTTTTAACAATCCTAATTAAACAATTATTGCTTATTTTCATTCGAGTTTAAAATGTTTGAATTTGTGATTTATATTACCAATATAAAAAGATCAGCTTATTTTCGATTATTTATCGAAGGCAATGGGTAAATGATTTAATTAAAGAAATTAGTTTGACACAATTGCGTAAGGCAACACAAATTGTGTGGGGGGGGGGGGGTTAAGGGGAGAGGAAAAATGTCCCACACACACCTTTTTTATGTAACAAGCTTTTTCTGCATAGCCATGCATTTATGCTAAGAGAACAAAATTTGATTTGAACATTTACAACGAAAAAATTGTTACAACGAAACATGTAAGAACTAAAAAATTCTTTGTAAAACTAATTCAAAAATGAGTTTCCATTGATTTTTGATAACAAAAATTCGGTAAAAGTATTTTTTTATTTTACTATTCCTGTTTTAAAAATGATTTTCAATTTGCTCAATGTTTAATAAAGATGTAACTGTGGTATTTGCATGACTAAAATTGTTGCATGTAAAAAATTTAGCAAAGTAGGTTTTCAAATATAAATGCCATTAATTATTTCCAAAATCTAAAATATTGACATATGTTAACATTTTACCAGAAATTATCCAAAAGAAGTACATTTGTTTACATGTTTCATTTTTAAAACCTCTTTTTAAGTCATAATCCAAAAAAAGTATTTGAAAGAAATCCTAATTTCTAACCCCCCCAATCTTTTCATTTTACAAATGATTTTAGTTGATTTTAAACCTTTTTCTTAGGTTTTTATTTGATAAAAGCCAACTTTGTTGTTCTATTTACAAACCAATAATTAAACAAAGGAATTGAGTTTTTGCCACAAACTCAAACTTTCTGATCCCTATATCTCTGCAACCAAATGGTTTAAACCTTTGTTATCTCAAACTTAGATTGTTTGATCTAGCAGAATTTATAGTTTGAAGTATTTTAAGTCTACGACATTACGTTTAAAAGATATATTGATTAGAAAATCAGAGTTTGTGGCAAAAACTCAGTTCACAACGTTATCCTGATTCACAACGGTATCCTGATTCACAACGATATCCTGATTCACAACGGTATCCTGATTCACAACGGTATCCTGATTCACAACAGTATCCTGATTCACAACGATATCCTGATTCACAAGGGTATCCTGATTCACAACAGAATCCTGATTCACAACGGTATCCTGATTCACAACAGAATCCTGATTCAGTATCCTGATTCACAACGGTATCCTGATTCACAACGGTATCCTGATTCACAACGGTATCCTGATTCACAACGGTATCCTGATTCACAACGGTATCGACCTAATTCACAACGGTATCCTGATTCACAACGGTATCCTGATTCACAACAGAATCCTGATTCACAATGGTATCCTGATTCACAAGGGTATCCTGATTCACAACAGAATCCTGATTCACAACGGTATCCTGATTCACAACAGAATCCTGATTCACAACGGTATCCTGATTCACAACAGAATCCTGATTCACAACGGTATTCTGATTCACAACAGAATCCTGATTTACAACGGTATCCTGATTCACAACGGTATCCTGATTCACAACGGTATCCTGAAAAGCTCGTCTGATCAAGGATGCATGAGTTTTCCTTGTTTCTTACTGCCTTTTTAAATAATAACGTATTTATGTTTCTGAAAAATTGTGTTAGCGACATTTTTCTCATAAAATGGACATAATGATTCAGATTTTTAAATTCAGGAATGGCAGTTAAATCAAATTTTTACCCTTTGTGTTATAAAACATTCCTAGAAAATTGTACATATAATTGGCTATACAAAGATGTCTCATTTTTTTGTTCCATTATAGCACAAACAAAATATTCTAAAATAGAATTTACTTTACCGTGTTTGTCTGAATATTTGAATAAAAATTTAAAGATCAAAACTTTAGTTTGGTTTTAAGTATTAACGATGAATAATGGCCTTCTTCTTTCGACAAACACATTAATTTGTTTTTTTACTTTATTGACTTCATATTAAGTATTAAATATACTTTTAAAATGTTCCAACTAACACGGTTAAGTACACATTCTTATTTTAAAATATTTCTTTTGTGCTAAAGGAGCATAAAAATGATATCAAGACATGTTTATATATATAATTATATATACAATTTTGTAGGAATACGTTTTCTTAATACAAAGGGAAAATATTTTTACTGAATAAAAACATCTAAATCACAGAACCAATTTTTTTTCTTGTTTTATTGATAGTTTCCATTCTGTGTTCTCTAACAAAATGAATTGCGTATTTATGCTACAAAGAGACAATCAAGAAATATATCATAAAAACACATTTTTTAAGAACTTTGTAACAAATGCTACAAATGTAAAAAATTTAAATGGTTCTATTGTGAATTGAACTTGAGGACATGCGATTTTCTTATCGACTAGTTGAAGGGGTCGGCGTTGCTTGAAGCAACAAAAAAACTTTTCTTAAAAAATTTGAGGAAAAAAATCTAATTTTTTCTAGCCTAACATCCCCCGGCCACTCCTAAACCGTACAAAATTACGTTTGATTTCTTACCGACGTAATATAATTTCTGACGAGCAAAGGTTGAATTTCATGATAATAATAATCATGAAACTTCTATAATGATATAAATTTAGATCAAGGCTTCAGAAACTATTCAAGTGTTGATTTAACATATAAGATTCATGGATTGCCTTTCTTGTCAGATATAGATAGACCTAGGTAGGAACTACTGTTTTCCCCACACACAACTTAATTAAACTCTTTATATATATAGAATTGAAATCTTATATGTTTTTCATTTTAAATTCTCTTATTGGTGTAATTTTGACAGGACAAAAATTGTTTTAAAATATTATTATATAAATAAATAAATTTGATTTTCTTAAATTCGAAACTTGAGGAGCAACTATGTCACAAAAGTCGTATATGTAATGTAACATAAAGGAACTGAGTTTTTGTCACAAACTCAAATTGTCTAATCCCTATATCTTTACAATCTGATTATGTAACCTTTGATATTTCAAACTTAGATTATTTGGTCTAACAGAATTCAGAGTTTGAAATATAAAAGGTCTACGACATTGGGTAGCAAAGATATAGAGATTAGAAAAGTTGAGTTTGTGACAAAAACTCAGTTCCTTTGACCTTCTCATATCTTTCTATCTAGTTCAAAGTGGTACATATGTCACATCATTAGATACTACATTTTTAGAAGAATTAAAATTTTAAAATGTGCCTGCATGAAATCTGTTTTAACCCTATTCCTGCTGGGGGGGGGGGGGTCAATTTGACCCCCCCCCTGTAGTTTTTTTTACATAACTCAAAAAGTATTGGCCTGAGGCTGTAGAAATTTTCCGACTTTTCCTACGTACCCAAAGCCCTCCTTTTAGGCCTAAAACCGGGCTTTAATACTAACTGCCTGAGTCCTCAGGCACACTGCCTGAATAACTGCTTTTTCCTGTAACAAACTAAATCTTTGTTTTGACCCACTTCCACTTGTCAGATTTTGATAAAATTTAGCTTTTTGGAATGCCTTTGACATGAGGAAACGAATTGCACAAGTTTTGCGAAAAAAAATTGCAAATTTTTTGCGAACAATCTGTCAAAGGAAATTTGCACATTTTTAGTTTTTCTTGATTAAAAGTCAGGTTATTTAAATTTTGCAAATTTTTTTGCATATTTGAAATGGCATGGTCAAGGGCTTTTGAAAACTGTTATTTTTTTAATAACAAATTTTTTGGGAGTTAACCTTTTTAAGCAGAAGAACTGAGTTATTGTCACAAACTCTGATTTTCATATTCATATATCTTTGCAACCTAATGTCGTTTCTTGATATTAATATATCCAAATGTAAATTCTGTCAGATCAAACAATCTGAGTTTAAAATATTAAAGGTTTACACCACCAGATTGCAGTTTGGGTTTGTAATGAAAACTCAAATTTCCAAAAATATAGAATTAGACTATTTTTTATTACTTACATTTTGTATCTGTAATAATGTGAACGTATACAGTGTAAAATATTTTTTAAAAGTTTTTAATTTTTAGATCTTTCCCATGAAGTTCATTAGCTTTGTATTAGTTTTTGTCGTCTTTGTCATCCAAACTACAGTTCTTGACGGTAGGAAATATTTTTCTCATTTTTCATTTTTGCATTTGTTACAAACATTTTGATATTTTAGAGTTTTGTTTTAAGATTATCATAGTATTTTTTAAACTTTAATTTTGATTCCCATTAACAATTTTTTTCAAAGAAAACATTTAATCAAAAAATATATCTTTTATTTTTTATTTAAAGAGAGTTTTGACCTACGTCAACAAGTCTTCAATTTAAAGCTTTACAAGCCCGATCCATAAAGATATCCTTTAAACCTTTATCGAATGAGTACAAGGGGATTGAGGAAGAAATTTTCGTTTTTTTGTTAAAATAAATTTTCTGATTTTCCTTCACTTTGTCTGTTGCACAAATCCGCAAGCCAATTTTAATGAGAACCATAATTATAGATGATTCATTTTAAAATAGAAAAGAAAGAATAATATTTTTTACTTAAAAATGGGAATCGGTTATCCAACTCCTTACATCCATGGCAACACCCGATTCACAATGGTACCCTTGAAAAACTTATCTCACCAATAATGTGAAATTATTTCTTTATTTATTTCTGATCATTCTTATATGTTTTCCTGCAGTAGAACATTGCTAGTCACTTCTTTAGAGAACCCACACCAGATAATAATCAGTTTAAAAAATTTAAATATTGATATCAAATACAATACGTCATGTGAATTGAGCATTGTCCTCTGTATAGAGGGGAACTTGAAATTTCGCTAACAGTCCCTTGAATGTTGATTTGTAGTGCAAATATACTTTCAGTTTAAACATTTTTAACTATAAATTTTCAATAGCTATATTTTCATCATTCAAACTCATTTTTTCAAAATTTAATTTTGATTTCTATTTCAAATATTGTTAATACTTTTTTCTTCACTTTTTCGATCAATATAATGATTTCATAATTATAACTTTTATTATTTTTATTCAACTATTTTACATATTAATATTATCATTAATATTTTCGTTATTATTATTATTAACATTAGCATTATTATCTAATGTTTCAGGAGCTGCAGTTGAAAGTGCTCTCAATGGTAGGTTTTTAAAATAGAAAGAAATTATTTATTAAATGGGATTTTTTACCTTTTGAAAAAAATTAAAAACACAAAATTTCTAGTTCTAGAATTCCTGATAGTTTCTATTAAGATAATCATCATAATCAAAAAACTCTTATTTTCTAATCTTTATATCTTTGCAACCTGATTTGGGATAACTTTAATATTTTTAACTTTAGATTCTACTTTATCTACTAACCAAAGTGTCAATAATAAAGGTTGACACTATTAGGCTGCTGATAAATATGAAAAATTAGAGAGTAAATAAAGGGGGGGGGGGGTTAGGGAGCGATGCCCCACCAAAGGTTCAAATTTCATCTTCCTCTCTTAAAACTTAGCTATCCCCCCCCCCTCCCGGTGCACTGAACACTACCTTAAAAATCCAGCTTCTTTTTAAAAATTACTTTTATGTAGAAGACAATGGATCTGAATTGGGATATATCTTTTTGGAAAAAGGATTAGAATCACTGACAAGAAATGTTCGAAATTCAAACCAAGATGAAGAAGTCAAGAGAGCGGAGAAGAAATCTGGAAGAGATAAGAAAACCCTAAACAACAACAAGAAAAAAAACGGGGAAAAGAGCAAAAAGGAGGAAAAGGACAAAAAGAACAAAAAGGGCAAAAAGAGTAAAAAGGAGAAAAGGGTAAAATCAATGAATAGAACGCTTAAGGAGAAAAAGATTAATGAAAAAGATAGGAAAATAGAAAGTCGAGCAGTGACGGAAAAATGTGTTACGGTAAATTAAATATTAATAAACAAAAATACATTACACCAATTTAAAGGTACTAATTAGACGTAACTTTAACTGAACGTACCTTTAATTTTAAAGTTCGGTTTCCGATACCCTTTAAACCTTTGCCTGATGAAGAATAGATAAAATTTACATTTTTTCCCCAGCTAAAACCATACTTTGCTTAATAGTTGGTTCTCTCTTAAAGAGACTTGCGGAATTATGCTGCAAATTATGTTGTAAAGAGACTGTAAGATTAATATCTATAGTGACCCTTCAAACAAAAAAGGTAACACCCGATTTACAGGGTTACATATAAGATAGATATCCATGTTTTTGTACGTTCAAACTATTTATTTTCATTCGTGGTTTCTCTGCAAAAAAGACTTGCGTATTTTTGTTAATGAAAACGCCGCGCAGTGAAGAAATCAAACACATTTCTAATCATAAACACGACGGTATCAACTACATTGTTGTTCAAAGGTAGCGTTGTAAATCGGGCATGGAGGGTCACTTGAAATTACACGCTCAGTTTTCGAAAAGAAGCATTTTTCCCCATATTTTATCCAGATAGTGGTTCGGACATACCATTTGTAATCCTTTACAGATTTATAAATAACTAGCTGAAGGGCCCGGCGTTGCCCGTGGAAAAAAAAATAAAAAAATAAAATAAAAAATGTCCACAAAAATGTTTAGCCCATTCGTTCCAGCGCGTAGGTCGGCTATAGGGAACATATATATGAATGTCTTGTTTTATTACATAGATTAGAATTTTTTAACATTTAGGACCTTGCAGAGCTTTCTGGAATCTTTGGTAATCAAGCTCGAAACTTCTATCAGATTGCAGGCAGAGCCCTGAGTGCCAACAGTATAATTGAAAGCAAAAATGGGAAGAAAACCAACTTTAAGGATTCCTACGCTATTCTGCTGAGCAGTGTGGGAGGAAATCCCAAAAATGTGACTTGTGCCGGAACTACGGTCAAAAATGATTCAGTTTCAGGTAATCACTTCTGTAGGGGAATATATTTGTTTTCAGAAATGTTCAATGATCTGGGGAAAAGAAAAAAATGGAAAGTTTTTTTGACTCTTTCTGATACTTTGTACCCTATTTATTTTTTTCTCCTTTTCAGCTAATAAAACACAAATAAAAATTGCACTCCACGCAAACATACCAAACATTTCAAGAGGGAAGATTGGGGGAATATTATATTCTAGATACGGCGACCATTGTATTCTAGATACTGCAACCATTGTATTCTAGAAACTGCAACCATTTTGGAAGCATGCGAGACAAAGATTGCAGAAGCCTGTGGTACAACTTTATCTGCAGAAGACTTGAAACTGATAACAGACTGCAGAACAGCAGCAGATGATTTCAGGTTCCACTTTTTAGACTCAATCAGCTAGCTATCTAAGGGCTCAATCCTAGCTCAAGATTGCATCCCCCCATACCCCCCCCCCCCTCCACTGTATTTTAAACACCAGACGACCAACTTAAGTATTAACCAAGTTGCATCTGGCAAAATGGGATATATAACTATAGAATTATCTCCTGCTATTGTAAAATTAATGTGCCTGAGTCCCCTCCCCACTTCCACAAAAAATAAAATTGAAGTTTTGAATAGTTAACATCAAACAAAAAATTGCGTGGAACTCTTAATATTCCAGGTTTGGGGGGCCAAGCGCTGTAACATGCATTTGCTCATGTGCTCAGAAAAGTTTGAAAAGTTAGCTTGATAATTATATAAAGTATCCCTTCATGCAAAGATGGCAATGCAATCCTTTTATTAAAAGCGTTGTCTGATCAAGTCTGAATTATTTATCAATATTTCAGATTTTGAAAACTGAAATCCTATATTTGCATGGGGAGCCACTTGAAATTACGATCAAAGTTCCTTTTTATTTAGTGTTCAAATTTAGGAAACTTTATTCATCCCTCATGGTCTTGAACAATGCGAAGACTGCTACGGAGGTAAATAGATATCTAAATATTTTTTGTAAAATTTCATAAATGTTGTCTTTTCTTTTAAAAAAATATTTTGATGTTGGGACATATTTCATAGATAGGACATTTCTTAGGCAGGACATTTCGTAGCAGAAAATTCCATATGTCAAATATGACAGAACATTTCTTAGCAGGACATTTCTTATACCAAATATGTCATATTACGGAAATTCATGGATTAAAATAATTTCATAAACAGATAAATGTCAAAAAAATGTTCTATTTTTTTCTAAAATGACTTAAATCTATAGATATCATTTCTAAGAAATGTTCCCATTCCTTTTTAACGCCATATGAAATATTTACTGCATATCTTGCAAATTAGTATAAAGACACATTTGTAAATGATAGTTTAGACAACTTATTTTAATTTTAGCTTTGCACTGCAGCAACTGACAGTAAACTTCAAAGTTTGAAAGATCAAGTAAGAAATTGCGCATTTTTGACCACCAATGGAGGAGCTGCACAAGCACAGCCGGGGCAGAGAAATGCCTGCAATAAAGGTAGTTTTCAAAATATAGGAAATTTTGTTTTTAAATTACATATTCTTATTCTACGCAATTTGTTTCAGCTTTTGCTAACTGCAGAACGGCTGAAAGAAACACTCTGTCAGCTGTGGATAAATGCTTCGTTTGTCCTCGCCCAACAACACCCACTGCTCCTGGTGTAACTACAACTAAAAGCATCAGGATCAGGAGCAGGAGATTTCCTCAAATTAAGGATTTCCCCTTATTCAAATCTTAGAAGTAGAACACTATTCTAGAAGGATAGTTTTCAAACTGCTACAATATACAACACACAACTACAACTTCTACACTCGCTAGAACATAGAAAACAAAGACAACAAAGACAATAATGACGACTAAAAGACGACAAAACAACTACTTCTTCTGGTATTGTTGACGACAAACGACGAGACTTGTATAACTACTATTTCAAATACTACTACATCTATACACCTACATTTACTTCTGCAATTACTTCTATGCAACTACTTCTACAACTACTTCTACAACTACTTCAACAACTACTTATACAACTAATTCAACAACTACTTCAACAACTACTTCAACAACTACTTCTACAACTACTTCTACAACTACTTCTCTGACTACTTATACAACTACATCTATGATCTATGACTACATCTACGACTACTTCTACAACTACTTCTGCAACTTCTTCTACAACTATATCTGCGACTACTTCTACTACTACTTCTACAATACATGCTAAATTTACAGCAATCACTAATTCTAATTGGTTCTTTAACATTTGATCATCAAAAATGTAATTCATATTTTGCTGTTAAATTTTCAATAAAATTAATCAATCAGAAAATATCATTTTTTGGTTTTTGTTTAATGCTTTCTAATTATGGTCTAGAGGTTTAATTTTACTACAAATATCAGGATCAAGTCCAAATAAACAAATTATTTAAAGATATTTTTACTTTTCATTAATATTAATGAAATTGTTGAAACTATAAGTTGTCACTTTTAGCCGCTAGACGATACTTTAAAAAACTTAAATATCATTCTTAATATAATGAAAATATGTTTACATGTGATATTAAAAGAATATTTTCTATTCAGAACTTTAACACTTTATGGAGATATTTTTGTTTTTGTTTCTAGAAATTGATTTGAATTGCAGTTTCTCTATAAAAGTAATTTGTGAATTTATGCAGCATAGACAAGGTAGAAAATTGACAATATCGATTTCTGTGCGAGAAAGAAAACACCTATCTTTATATTGCAGAGAAACCTTTGAAGGATACCCTTTGAATGGAGCCGGAGGGTCACTTGAAGCTACATTAACAGTCGCAAAAAATCGATTATTAGACAAAGGTTTAAAGGGTACCGTTGTGATTCAGACCACCTGTAATTGAGGTTGAAATTGCGCCTGTAGTCCCACTAAACACCCTGTATCTTAATGATACAGTTCTTATCTTGTATACTCCACGTTTCTAAATCCTAGTGTAACCTAGTAACATACACAACATATAATAGTAAATAATAATTCTTGTAGAAGAAATCCACACGTTGTGTTTGGCATACAGTGATAACCAGAAAATATAATATAGGAAGACGACATTTAGAACCAAGTTATAATTTTAAGCATGGCACACAACAATAACAATTATATGCATTGTAAACAGACCCATTTCACTATATTAATGATTTCATGTTTATAGTAAGATTATTTGCTTTGTAACATTGTACTGATTAATGTGTTCAATCGATCACAATCCAGATGTAAATTCTATGGATTTCTAGATCAATCGTTTGCTCTTACTGTTAAGGTGTGCATATATATTTCACTCTGAATCCCCGTACTTTTGTTCTTTTTAATCCCTTTACTAGCTCTTTCTCTCGGGAGTAAATGAATAGGATTTATCAGCTTCATAGTTTTATTTGTTAAGTACATCTGTATAAGGTTACTTGTTTTAATCAGCTCTCTCTAGTATCCGGAAAACCGTGGTTCAGTTGCTCCAGTTCAGGATCTGTCTGAGCAGCTTCCTCAACCTCAAATATCTCGTTCAGCTGCTCCGGATCACAATCAATCTGTGCAGCTTCCTCAAACTTCACTATCTCATTCAATTGCTCTGGTTCATGAGATGCTTCCGCTACATTTCCAGCTGCTTCCTTTACTACCAGAGCTGCTCCCGGAGTCTCTGCTATTCTGACTGCTCCCAAAATCTGAGACGCTTTTACCGCATTCCAGCTGCTTCCTTTGTTGGACTTGCAACCAGTCTGTAATCAATATCTCTTGTTCTTCAACTGCTTTTACAACAGATATGTGAAGAGCTGTCTGTAGAGAGCAGCGTCTTCAATATCAGGTTTAGCTTCTGCTCCTGGAGTCCTATGTCTGACGGGATCTTCTAGCTGCTCCAGATATATGAAGAGTTGTCTGTAAAAGCAGCGTTTCCAATATAAGGTTCAGCTTTTGCTCCTGGAGTCATAGGCCTGACTGGATCTTCTAGCTGCTCCAGATATATGAAGAGCTGTCTGTAAAGAGCAGCGTCTCCAATATAAGGTTCAGCTTCTGATATCCTTGGTGCTGATCAGGATTCTTAGGATGTATATTCCTGAATAATGATGTGGAAGGAGGCTGGTGTCCTCCTTAGTTCTCTGGTAAACATGATAAAGAAACATCAGTTTGATAGCTGTCTAAAAGTGCAGAGCTTAGATCTAACGTCTATCCTATTCAAGGTTCCCGGTTGCACTGATCAATCTCCAGGTTCTATATGCTGCCATAACTTAGAGAAAGGGTTGAAGAGTTTAGTAGGAGTAACCATACCTTAAATACTACAACATCATCAAATACAATTGAGCATTGTTAAAATATCGTCTTCATATTCCATTGTTTTCTGGTTCTCACTGTATCAAGATTGACCGATGACAATTCAAGCTATGATATTGGCTAACATTGATATCTCCTCATTGACCGGATATATTACTTCTTCTTTCTGATTGGGTTAAATTGGAAAAATTTGATTTCAAAAATGTTTTACAAAATTTGAGAAGAGTTAAAAATTTCAAAATTGATTCTTAACATTTGCTTACATTAAACACTAATAACGGTTGGGGGAGGGAGGAGGGTTCTACCCCCTCCCCTGTAGTTTTTCTCCATAACTTTAAAAAACGATATAAAATTTACGCTAGAAAGCTAAAATTGCTTGAACAATTTTAGCCAAAAATAGAATCATCCCTCTCTCATCTGCATAAGAAAAAAATCGCCCAATCGAAACAAAGTTAAAAGTATAAAAAGCTCATATTTGGCTCAAAATGTGTTCTTTAAGGGTTTCCCATTTTAAGTTTTTTTTAATGTATTTTTATTTTGATTCAGTGAGAACCAGAAATATATGGAATGAATGCTGGCTTTGTTCTTTCTTTTACTTTTCTCTAATAATTTTCTAAATTGTATTTTGTAAATGTTGCCACTGATTTAAGTATGTTCTGTGAATTTAATCAAAATTAGTCCAGCTGCAAATAACAAAGTTGTCAGATAAATTTCCTAGTTAAAAGGAAAAACGTGGAGAATTTCTCTTTTTTCTAGTTCAGCTAAATTTTTAGCAATTTAAAAATTAAATTAAAAATTAAAATATTTCTAGGGGGCATCATTTTTTTCAGTGAAAATGAAATATTATATTCTATTATTTTTTGCTGTTCCAGTTCTATCACAAGTAAGAATTTTAAAAAAAACTTTTTTTACTTAAAAATATTGTTTGATATTTCTTTTTTTTAAATGTTAGATTTTCAGTCTTAATCTGTCATAACATTGGAAATATATCATCGAAAAGAAATTGAAAATTTATATTACCTTTATATTTATAGTTTTTGTTTATAGTTTTAAAAAGCGACAATATTTGGAGACCCTGTCATTTACCGTTCAAACATTCTGTTTATTTAATATACTAGAATTAACATATGCAATAATCAAGGTGACTGGTTCCAAAATTAACAGAATTCTGTTAAATCATAGAGTATTAATATTAATTTTAATGTTTGAACAGGAGCCAGGGCGGAAAAGTATCAATTTCAGGGTTTTGAGGGTGTCCAGGGCCAAAAATAAGCAACTTTATGTTATTTAGGAACCAGGGCCCAAAGACACTGCTCATCAGAAAGATACTTTTATAAGAATAGAACAGTTATATGAGAACAGAAAGGTAAAATTAAATTTTTTTTAAAGTTCTGTTTTAACTTTAAAATACAAAGCTCAAATAAGCATTGCTTGTTTGGGCAAATAAATTACAAAAAAGGTTTAAAAGAATAGTTTAAATATACCACGGCAATTATTTGGTAATTTTAAAAATGAATCCAAACTGGACTTTTCACAAAGAATTTGATTTAATGTAACAGTGAGAACCAAAAAACTGTGGAATAGGAAGACGACATTAATGCAAAAAATAACTGTATTTGATGTTGTTACAAAGCAAACAGTTTTACTGGTAACCTAATAAATTACTTATTAAGCGAAATGGCTCAGTTTGCATTGGACAAATGCTGTGTTTTTGACTTTTTTAAGTCATAACTTGAGTTTAAAAATCGTTTTCCAATTCTTCAGTTACATTTCTTTTAAAAGATTGAACCAAAATATACAAAATGTAAAGAATATGATTGTGTTAGGAACAGAAAGTACTGAATATAGTTGTTAAGAGTGCATTAAATATGATTTTATTATGTACAGAGTGTACTGTTGGGAGATCCTACACATCTTGTACAACTACTACTGGAGCAGGATGGTCGTATTGTGGACTGTACTGCAAGGAAATAACAACACAACATTTACTCACATGCAGTGTCCCAAAAAAAATTTCTTATCTCATTGAACATGTTTTCTTGTAAAAAAAGTAAGTAAGATGTAGACTTTTAGCAAAATTATTTTAAACTCTTAAGTGCATTTTATAAGTATTATAAGGATGGTTTGAAATGATAGTGTTTATTTAGACACACTGTAAACACAGTGAAATATTATATTTCGCTTCTATTCGCGCCCATCTTCTATTTCAGCTTTTAATTGTTGCTCAATCTTTCAGCACTTTCTATACGATAAAAGAATAGACAAAATTGCGGATTTACAACTTTTTTTTCGTGGATTTTCAAAACTTTACAAAAATCTAAATTTGTTGAATTCCATTTTTTGTAATTTTGAGCATACTACATCCTAAAACATTTTCTATTTTTCTTCTTATTAGGGTTTTACTAATTACACTGATCGTTATCAGTTGTTTTCTTCAAATTCTGAACATTTTAAACACATTCTTTCACAGATTTTGTTATACTTTCATATGTATGCATGTTGCTTAATATACAGAAGAAGAAGTAGTTTTGCCATGGGAAATATAGTAGAGGAGGTAAATATTGTACTGTAATGTTCGAAAACAAAATAAATAATTCGAAAGATATCCCGATGTTCTCCAGATTTACAAATTGAGCAATATAACTTTAAGAATGTTTAGTAATGCTTTGCGAAATATTACTGCCACGCCGCGCCAGGTCCCACACAAAAAAACAGCAGTATAAGCCAGAAAAATATGAAAAAAGAATATAAAATTAAGAGTCTTAAAAGTTATCTTTATTTAGGCATCGATCGCCGAAGAGACGTTAACTATGCCACCTGGCGTTGAGTATTTAGGTGATTTAACAATAAAAAACAAACAAAAAGCAGATGTCATTTCTTTTGTGTTGTAAATTGCAGGATCAAATATTGATCTCCACATTATTTAGACTTTCATTGTACAGTGGTGTATTCAGACCTATTTCAAACAATAAGTCTATTTTCAAGCTACTGGGTTTGCTTTAACATTTACTCTAACCTTTCTCTGTTAGTAAAATCAGTTCATGACATTGCTTGAATTGTCGTCTTTTAATTCCACAGGTTTATGCAGGGTTCAATGTATAATTCATCAATAATATCTAGAGATGATTGTTGATGTAAGCTGGTATGCACGGTACTGTAGACGTCATGTCAGAAATACGGTAAAAACAGAAAACTTTTTATCTTGTAAAATTCACCCTGCATTTATAGAGCGGCATGTCAGATTGTCAAGGGCACCCTGTAAACCTTTTTTAGATTATAAAGATATCTTAATTTGATCGTCAAAATTTTAATATTTGTAATTGTGGTTTTTCTATAAAAGTGACTAAAGGATTAATTTATGCTACAGAATTAAGGAAGGAAAATGTCGTAATTAATCCCGTTTTAGGAGGATTTGAACATTGGGCATGTCAGGTCACTTGAATGAAAACTCGAGTTTACCATCTCTTTAATTTTATAATTGAATCTGCACCCGGTGAGGCGTTCAGAAATGACTGTGCGTGAGATAATGCCCGGGTAATGGAGCATTTCTTGATGATTTGGACACTATAAATGGACAATATAAAGTTATGGATGCATTGAAAAACATCTTCTGAACGTAACATGTAGTTAAGTTATGCAGCAATACAAGAAAATATGTTAAAAAACTGTTTTTCATTTTTAACGTCGTCTTCTTTTTAAAGAATTAAAAGACATGATTAAATTACCTGCTATCCCTTGCACATCCAACTGATTCAAATTTCTCACTCACTTAAATATTTTTAATTTCTGTCTAAGATGCGTCAAGGAGAATATGGTGAAATAGCTGCACCAGCAAAACAACTCTATGAAGAGCTTAAAGACAGGAAATGGCTGGACCGAGGTAAATTTTATATTGAAAGGCTTTTATCAAGTATTTCATCAAGTATTTTATCAAGTATTTTATCAGTATGTAATCAAGTATTTCATCAAGTTTTGCACAAGAGTGACAATAAAAATGTCTTAGGCAGAATCATTGCGTTCAATTTTCAATCAAAATTTATAGAACTTTTACAAAATTACAAAAAAATTTCTATTTTTTATATATCAAAAAACTAAAAATATCAGAATTATTAAAAAAGGATAAATTATAACAAAAAACTCTTAATAGACCAAAAATTACTAGGAGTTGAAGGAACAAACTTCTGCAGAACTAGTCCTACAAAGATTAAAACTTCATTGGAGAATTTAGGAACACAGATTTGTATCAGCTGTTCTCAGAACACGTAACTAATCTTCATTTTTATCAGCTTTTCTCAGAACACGTAACTAATCTCCATTTTTATCAGTTGTTAACAAAACACGTAACTAATATCCATTTTTATCAGCTGTTCTCAAAACACGTAACTAATATCCATTTGTATCAGCTGTTATCAGAAAATATTGCGATACTTGTCACCTTTTTTATAAACAGTTCATAGAAATTGTGACTAGCCCATTTTTAACAGCATTTCTCAGAACATTAACATGTGACCTACAGCAGCCAATTTTTATCAACTTTTTTCAAAACGCATAACGCAGCCATTTTCATCCGCTGTTTTTAGAACGCATGAGTCATGACTGGTTGCCTTTATATCCGCTAATTTCAGAACGCATGCCTAACTGCCATTTAAGCAACTTATTTCAGTACAAATGAGTCGATCTTAGCTGCTATTTTAGCAGATGATTTCAGAACGCATGCCTAGCAAGCAGGGGAAAGGCAGGAGGCCATAACCCACAACATTTTCCCCTTCCATGCCACATATTATCTCCCGGCAGCCATGAGCCAAAACGTTTTTAGATGATAAATTTAGGGCATTGAAATTGCAATTTTTAAAAATACTGCCACATTATGCGAAAGATGATACATTAAAGAAAAAATTACATCATTTAACGCATTGTGGGCACCGAGACTAATTGTTTGAGATAGTCTAAAAAATAAGAAAAGTTGATAAAAAGCACAACAATGACTGTCATTACCTGAGCGATACAGATTTCTACAAAAAAATTTATTATGCAATTTTCTCGTTAAATTGTGCAAATTTTTGGTTATAGGCGTCCTTTGAACTTTAAGAGTATGTTATATGGAACATTATTTTTATTGTTCATAATGTTTTCAGAAATAAGATATTTTATAGGAAAGATTGAATTTGTTTTTGAGAAAAATAAGTTTAGCAATTTACATTAAAAGGAATCGTCATTATTTCAATTTAAAACTTAAATGTAATTATTTTTAAAACATCTTTTGCATGTTGTCGCTGGATTTTTTAAATTAAAATTTCAATGCACTAAATTTATCATTTAATAACGTAATAATTGCCGGAAGACTCAAATTCTGTGGCATGGAAGTTGTGGCACATGGCTGCCGGAACACAAAAAAAGCTAATGTGGCATTAAAGATAGAAATGTTGTGGCTTATGGCCGGCTGCCTTCCCCCGCTTGCCTAGCTGCCATTTTAGCAGCTGTTCCTAGAACGCTTGGCTAACTGACATTTGTTCATAACACCTGAATGTATCTCTAAATATTTTTAAATAAAAACTTACGGTTTTCTATTGATTTCCATCAGGTAAATCAAATTCCCAACAATAAATAAGTTTTGCATAATAACAAGTATTTTACAATTATTTACAATTATTCATGTTCTTCAGCAAGTTTTAATTTAGCTATTTATCGAAATTAAAAATAATTCTTTTACAAATAAAAAAAAATGTGTAGGGGATAAAAAAGAATTGGATAAGGTAAGACAAAAAATGAATTATTTTTTAGGAAGCATAAATTTATTTGCTGCCACTTCATTTGATTCATGGTAAGAAATTCAATCATCCATTGTATAAAAGTCCCTAAAATTTGTTAAAAGAACAAAATGCAAAATTTGTTTACTGAAAATCTGCTTTTTTCAATTTGCCCTCGTACTCACTTTATTTAATTTTTCAAATCTTGATCCTATACATGTTAAGTGTTGTTTAACCCTACAGACTTGTGAGGACTCAATAACTCCACTGGATTATCTTAACAATACTCTAAATGCAGGTATTACATTACCAGCGCCCAGATTGGCAAATTGGTTAGAAAGCGTCTAAAGCGCGCTAATATAGGAGAATTTCCGCAGATAAAGTTTCTAGATTTATTTTAGCATAAGTTTGCACTTTTGATGTTTAAACATTTTCTTGTTTATTGAAGTAATTAATTATATTGAAATATACTTATGTTTACTAAGAGAGAACAAACCAAATTAAGTAACAATTTGTAATGTTTCTCTCAATATACAGGGTGTCCCAATAAACATCCATTTTAATATCTGATATTTATGCATTGCAAAGAAAGTTTTTGATATTAGATGTTTAAGCTGGAATACTGCAATAATTGTGTTCATGAAAAAGTGCCACATGGGTCGAAGACGATGTAAAAGTCATCACTAAATTCTCATATTTATTGGGACACCTTATATCTACGTCATAACATCTTAATAAATGTTAAAAATTTTCTTTGCTGCTAGCATAAAACTTTTTAAGAACTAACCTTTTAAAATAATTCAAACGGTGGCAAATACTCTATATTTAATTTGTTTTCTATTATGCTCTTTTTAAATAATTTAATTTTATAAGAGAGATTTGAAAATTATGATTATTTAATGTCGTCTTCTTTATATTTAGATCTGACTACTATATTTTCCTGCGAGTGTACAGTACAATTTAAACAATGTCTGGAATCAACTCCCTCTCTAGTAAGTAAAACTGATTTACATTAACTAGCTAGCTATGCTATTGAAATTGTTTGCTTTACTTAGTACGTTTTAGCTTTCCCTAAAGAAATTTTTAGCAAATTTATATTGATAGCTTTCTAGAACAAGTTCTTACATATTTTTAGAGAAATTGTTCGCTTTCCACAACAGTACTTAGAAGTAGGACTGGGCAAAGTTCCGTAAACAAAATGGAGGTTTTTCGAAAATTAACGAAAAAGACCATTATCGAATGTCAAAAACTGTTAATTTTTAAGTCCTTAATGAAACTGATTAGCCATTTTTGAAGAAAAAAATTAGCAGTTGAAAATGAAAACAAAACGGATGGGTTTTTACACACGGGCAACTTTTGTTCTTTTTTTCTGCATAAAACTTGCAAAATAAAATGTTATGTATTTTGCTTTTTTTTAATGTCGTCTTTTGCAATTTGGTGACACCTTGTGCCGTAAATCCATTTTGATAAACCGTTATCAATTTTTTAATGAAAATTTTGGAATTTTGGCAAACCGTTAACACTGTTAATACTCATGCAAAGTGAATGAATACTAAAGTGGAACAGACGTTGGGCCATACCGAAATATTTGGTTTAGTAAAGTTTTCATATTTTTGTTTCGGTGCCCAAATTCCTATGTAAGGACTAGAAATAGTTTACAACTATTAATATGATATGCAAACTGTTGTTTTTAGCTACGAATATAACCATGTTACTCATTAGACATCTTTTAACTCTCTTCAACAGCTTCCAACTAAAAGAAATCTGTAAAAGTAGAAAAATTACTAAAAGTTAATAGCAATAGTCTGGTAATGTAGAAATTCATTACATAAAATGTTATTTTCTTCTTCTAATTTAGCTCTTATTAAGAAAAATGTTGTTAATGGCCAGTCACAAAAATCACATTTATATCACAGATATAATCATCTAAGCGTTTTTTTTTCTGTACAGCTTTCCTTATTCTTCGATTAACAATTATGCATAATGCATATATACACTATTCTGTATTGGGCACTGTTCATTAAAATTTGTGTAAATTCGTGTTTTAACATTCATTAACTTTGTGTTTTGTAATTTCACGTAAGTGCTAGAATAAAGTTGCTCTCTCCGTTTGGAGACTAGGGTGCTCTACGTGAAAAATTATGATTCCAAGTTCCGAGCAAGAAAAAAACAACACAGGACCCTGAGATTAAAAAAAAATAGAACTGTTAAATACAATACGAACAACTTCAGAGAGAGTATTACTCTAAAATTTGGAATCCATCCTGATTGACCTTGAAAACGTGGTTTTGACCTGAAATTATTTGGTTTGGTAATCCATTCAATATATCGGTTCCCAGACATGTCATCTTCACATTAACTTTTGTTCTCTTCTCCATAACATATATCCGTATCTCCGTCCTCAACTCTTGGAATTACAATATTGTGTAAGCATATGAAGTCCAGTTATTAGTACGGTACACACAATATATTTCTAAAAAACTTGGGACATCAAATGTCGTCGTCCAACTATAAGATTGGCCCTCTTAAGTATCTGTTCACTTTGGTTAACACAACCTCAGAAAGGGCAACAAAACCATTAATATATTGGTTGATCAATAAATATATTTCTGTTTTAAATTTTACTGTTCAGGACTCCGAGCGTATTCTAGGAATTTGGGAGAAAATAACCAGATGCTACATATTAGAAACTAGGAAAATATATTTATATTAGTTTCTGTCATCATATTCATTTTATAAGATTTTTAAAATTGTAATTGTGTTGTATACAGGGTGTCCCAATAAACATGGGAATTCAGTGACAAGTTGGATATCGTCTTTTCAAATAATTCTTTGAATTAATACAGTGATACCTACTGAGAAAGCTGTAATCTGTAAGAGTTTCGTCTGCTATGTTCACATTTTGTTTGTTTATGTTTTGACTGCATAAAGGTGTACTTAGTAAAACGAAAAAATTACAGTATACAAACAGTGTAAACTTGTCCGTCTTCACTGTTCATCTTGCGGATACATTATTGACACATCTTTACAGCCATTTACCGTTTTCATAAATTAAACTCTAGCAGACATAATTATATTATGGCTTTTGAAATTAGGTATTACAATGCTAATTCAAACAAAGACGATATCGAATTCGTCACTGAATTCAATTGGTTTTTTGGAACACCCTGTACAATGATGCTGTTAAAACTTTTTAGAACTCTTCTGGCCCTGATTTAATCATCATGCAAAGTTCGTTTGTAAAAACCCTAGGCTAGCCCAAGTTCTTTTGTCTCATCCTTTTTACAACTTTTTTCAAAATGGCACAATTTGCATAACACTGAAGGAGGAATGACTACTCCATTTGATAACATCTGTTAACAAACATGTTCAGACAACTGTTCAAAATGAATCTTGCATTGACATTTTTGAACAAGTTTGACATTTTTGAACAAGTTTGACATTTTTGAACAAGTTTGACATTTTTACACAAATTTGATATTTTTACACAAATTTTACATTTTAACACAAATTTGACATTTTTACACAAATTTGACATTTTTCAACAAATTTGATATTTTTACACAAATTTGACATTTTTACACAAATTTGACATTTTTACACAAATTTTACATTTTAACACAAATTTGACATTTTTACACAAATTTGACATTTTTCAACAAATTTGATATTTTTACACAAATTTTACATTTTTAAACATTTTGACATTAATAAACAAATTTGACATGCGAAAAATTTAAGTTTCAACACAGTAAATACAAATTAAAGAAAAGAAACGATTCTTGAGACAAATCTTAACTGTAAACTTTAATCAATCATGAAAAAAAATTATATTTTCCAGAAAACAGTGCTTTGAGTACAGTCCTTGGTTTGACACCTGTGTAAATGGAACAACATTTGACAAAGCAGTGGTACAAAATATGCAGTAGTACAGATACCACTACAATTCTAAATAAATTGTGTAATGGCCCTAATAAATTGGCGGTATTTACAACTATAAACGCTTGTTAGAGAGTGTCAAAGAAGATTATAAAAGTATTATTGAGGGAGTTTAAGATTAATTTTGAGTGTATACCATACCCTCCATGCAAAGATGTCAACGTAACCCTTAAAACCTTAGACTCATAAAGGTTGTCTGACTTATCATCATCCATCTACGAAAAGTTTTCGTCTAAAAAGCTTTCAATAGTTAAACTTTGTTTGCAAGCTGCTTTAACTGTTGACTTGATGTTCACTTTCTAGTATTGGCAGAAAATATATACATTAACTGATATTTAAGATATTTAACAAACGAAAAAAAGGTTTAAAGGATACAAATGTAAAAAGGGAATGGCCTCTTTGCATGGAGGTCACTTGAAATTAGAGATGGGCAGCGTTTTTTTTAACGAACAACATTAAAAAGGTCTCATTGAGATAAAAACAAAGGATGGACAATCAAACTGGATCGATCAGAGAAATTAAAATTATTGTTCTTAAAAACTAATGAAAAAAAGAATGATTTAAAATCGTTCAAACTAAATTGAAAAAACGATCGTTATTTTACTGAAAGAAAGATTTTTGGATCAACATTTAAAAAAACGATAGTTTTTCTGAATAAACAATTTTTTCGTACAATTTTTAAAATTGTTTTCGTTTTCTTACTGAACAAACTATTTTATTGAAAGTACGATTTTACTGAATGAACAATTTTACAAAACGAACGATTTAACTGGACCATCGTTCAGTGAGAAAACAAACGATATAGATGGAAAATGAACGATCATTTTAAGAAGGAACGAAATTAATTTTTTTGAACGATTGAAAAAAAGAAAACAAAATTGGTTGTTCACTATGAATGAATGAACAAACTAAATAAAAAAAGCCGAACGTGCCCATCTCTGCTTGAAATTAGAGTCCTTTTAATAAAACAACATAAACATTCTGGTTGCTCTGTTTATGTGGACAGTATTTATCCTGGTAGCCTAGCAACAGGGATAATCCTACAGAGACAAATTAAGAGACTGTAATTACTTTCCAGATAGCAGGACGGCAACATGTATTCTTAGTTAACCAAGTTACAACAAGTACAGGCAAACATTTTGCCAGGTTGACTAATAAAAAGTGCTTATGTTGGGAAAGAAAGAAATACTTTCAACAATACTTTTGAGGAGACATTTATTTTGTTTTCATACCAGAAAGGAAACAGCCCAATTTTCCAAAACATAAATCAGAAAGAGAGCACAATCCACACCAGAATGTTAGCTGGGACGGGTTTGATGTATATATGATCAGACTGAAATAGACAGAAATAAATTCCAAAGATATTCATGGAGAGAAAAACATCAGTAAAATGTCTTTGTACATTTATATACTTCTGCCTTATAGTGTTTGTCCCTGGGATGCCAAGTTACTACACCTTTTGCATCAATGCACTGGCATTTATATTCACATCCCTGGCTTGTGTGTTCTTTTTCAAATTCTTAAACTCCAGACCTTCTCAGCAAAAGAACATACTCAACAGGATACTTGCTCTTATTATGATCATTCTTCTTGTTGGAATCAGTCAAGACTTTGCTATGTCATTTACCGCATGCTTCTTCCGGCCTAAACTGACTTATCTTGTGGACACCTATCCAGGTCTTACTCTGTTCTTACTCTCTTCAAGAAACTTAAACATTGTGGGACTTACTGCATTGCTTTGCCTGTCTGCTGGTCGACTTTTGCTTTTTGCAAAACCAGTTATATTTATAAATCTAAAATCCTACACTGGAGTTATAATGACGGTTTGCATTAGTATAATCTTGGTCATTGTTGACAATGCCTACAGAATAGTAGATTGCAAGCAGGAAGAATACAAATTGAATATGTTGATGAAATTGTTTAGAGCTAAACTTGGAATCTCAAAAAACATACTTGCAAACCACACTGCGAACCAACAAAACCACACTTTAGACATGATTGAAGAAGAAAATGGCAAGTGTTCCAATTTGCCGGTATTAAAAATAGAAGTGGCATGTTTCCTCATCTTGGAAGCAGCTAAGTTTGTGTATTTGCTTGCTAAAGAGATAATCAAAAGCAGAAACAAATCAAAAGTTAGTCCTACCCTAGTACTTTTTTCCACCATTGAGCTGCCAAAAAGGGTTGCACACCCCATTATTCAAAGATCAGAATCACTCCCAATGACTCCTGTTCTTTTTCTTCAGAATCAACGAAGAAGTTCTTTACCCTCTGAATTACAAGATCAAAGAAAACCCAAGACAATCCTGAAAAAGAACTTGACAGCAGTGAATAAGCTCGACATACACAAAACTGATGAAGAAAACTGGAAGAAAAATTTGGGGAAGATAACAAACCAAATATGCTTGAGAACCTCCAGTGTTTTCACCATGTTTGCAATCATTTGTCTTCTTGTGTTGATCAATGATTCGATCACCAATGATGGAACATCAGAGTTAAGTGTAAAAGCACATATTCTGACTGAAAGATTACTCCTCTATCTTGTTGTAATCCTAGTATCAGTTTTTGACAAAGATATAATCTCATATTTTAAAGAGAAGTTCAATCTTCCAAACCTTTGAACTTTTTTAACTCGCAGGGCAGAATGGTTTACTGAAGAAGCGTATAAAAGGAAGACGACAAAAGAAAACATTGAAAATCTGCGAAAATCCGCGTGGAAATTCTGGAAGACGAACACAACCATTTTATTTAAAGAACTATTGCTGAAATTGATATTCTGTTATTTAAAAAACTAGATATATTGTATTGTGTGCTACGAGTATAAAATATATTGTTATATTTCTAAATGAATTTTTTTTTTGAAAAAATTCTTGTTATATACTGAGTGTTTGAATCTAGTCAATCTTTGGTTCTTTTATAATTCAAAAAGCATGGATACACATAAACATGGAAACAAAGAGAAGCTGCCAAATAACATCTTGTCTTTAAAACATGTAATTTGAAAAATCTGATGCTGGTTACAAATCAAAACTTAAATAGAAAAGTGCATTGTATTGATATAAACGACAACTATTGTCTATTTTTAAGGGCTTTTCCAAACTGTAAAGTTTAGGCTCCAAGCTCAATAAAGACCTATAAAGGGCTATATTTTTTTTCTGTCCATATGCTAACATTTTATCAGCCCTTTTACCTTACCTTAAAAACTTTAACTTCTATTGTTTATATTGTTTGTATTTTCTGGGATATGCCAGAAGATATCTATTTGGTAGATTTTCCTTCAGAAAAGACGACTTTTTCAATCATCACGTGTAACAGACAGCCCTTTCTCTCTCTCTCTTTCTTTAAACTTATAACAAATCTTGAAAAGAGTGTATATATATAACTTTAATAAAGCAGAACACGCCCAAGGGTAACCATATTATATAATAATCGAGTCCTAGGGTTATAAAATTATACAATATTCAAGGGCAAGGATAACAATATTTTACAATAATCGAGTCCTAGGGTTATGAAATTATACAATATTCGAGGGCAAGGATAACAATATTTTACAATAATCGAGTCCTAGGGTTATAAAATTATACAATATTCAAGGGCAAGGATAACAATATTATACAATAATCGAGTCCTAGGGTTATAAGATTATACAATATTCGAGGGCAAGGATAACAATATTTTACAATAATCGAGTCCTAGGGTTATAAAATTATACAATATTCAAGGGCAAGGATAACAATATTATACAATAATCGAGTCCTAGGGTTATAAGATTATACAATATTCGAGGGCAAGGATAACATTATTTTACAATAATCGAGTTTAAGTTTGACAAAATATGAGAAGTATGAAATATTACCAAAGGAATTGAGTCTTTGCCAAAAACTTAAATTGTGTCCTCATGGTGTAAACCTTATAATAACAACTTAAAATATTTGATCTCACAGGATTAATTGTTTGAAATATCTAAAGTCTACCACATTGCAATGATAAAGAGACAAAACTTTCTGAACAAATTGAGCAGCGTGCTTACACCTTGAAGAAATGAATTAAACTGGCTAAGATTTGACAAATGAGCGCGCTTTTCAGCGGGCCCTCGTTTTTTATCATCCTTTTTGATTTCATATCGGAAGAAACAGTTTGTCTTTTCATCCTCAAAGTTCTTCAGACGGACTGATAAATTAGTTTTGATCCGCGACGATGGAGTCAAACTCCGACAGCAAACAATTGCGGACTAAAAAAAGACAGCTTTTAATCATCCGATGCCGGAGCTCCACAAAAAGACATTTCAGGATGAAAAAAAGAGTTCCGATCACAGTAGAAAATAAGAAAACGGTGGAAAGAAAAATAATTTTCCAGCTGGGTAGAATCCTAGTTTGATTTTTTATTGGGTTTATTGTAAATCTTTCACTTACATTTCTCAGATGTTCGTGTTTTGCTTCTTAACACTTCAAAGACGACATTTTTATAACAGAGTTAACTTTTCTTTCGATTAATTAAAATTCTGCTTTTATAGTCTAACACCCTGTTAAACCACTCAATCTACATTCTACACACACTATATAAATTTTGTCGAATACATTACCTACAGTTACTTATAAAAATTGATTTAGGTTAAAACTATGAGTCTACTTCGAATTTTTATGGGGGGGGTGGCGTTCCTGCATCTCTCTCTCTCTTCCGAGCCGCAGGACCAAAACTACTTCACTCAGGACTCTCCAGTGATTACAGACAACAAGGCGACAACATTCTCCTTCCCACCCCAAGACCTCTGTACAATATCAATTGATGAAGAAACATTAGTCCAAACTACAACACATTCATCAACACCCAGCTATCCAAATTGCGTAAGCATCGTAAACGCATAATATTTTGGCTTCAATTACGCAATTAAAATGCAAATTTGCGTAAGTCTAGATTTCAAAGTAGTGTAAATATCTAATTTTTCTAAAGTAAATATTTTATAACCCAGCTTTAAGTAAAAATATCATGAATTTGTGGAGATGTGTATCATTTTATTTCAGGTATACAAATTGCGTAAAAATACGCTCAATTTGCGTAATTACCTAAAACTCTAAATCTAAATTATTTGTGAAATATTTAAATTTCCGATACAGCACATATTGCATTTTCCAAAATAAATTGAAAAAATAAACTTTTTAAAAGAATTTAAATGGTCTTTGTTAGCATTAAAATTGCGTAAAAATTGCGCTCTTTTTACGCATATGTTTTGAGTGTTTTAAATATTGAAGAATTGAGTGGCCTAGGTGTGTGTGCACTGCAGTGAAGAGTGCAGCAATATATAATTTTGTATTAAATAGAAAGCCGTGTGATTTGTAGATAAGAGTGGGAAGGGGGGGCCGGGGTAATTGGGCAGAGAATTTAAAGCGCTACATAGCACACTGGTTTTTAGTACCAAATTTTACCGCTAGGTGTCTCTGTTTGTTTTACGTAAAATTTAAAAAAAGTAAAAAGGTACAGATTAAATTTTTTACTAAAAGTATATCATTTAGAAGTCAAGATTTAGGTTTTAAATTATTTTTAGTTAAAAAAAAAAAAATTTTTTAATTAGGAAAATGCACTGAATTTTTTATCAGAAAAATTTATATAACTTTTATAACTCCATACTAATTATAAAGCTAGAAGCAGTAATCTCTATGTTAAATTGTATTCCCTGATGAATGGAATCAGTTTAGAGAGAGATACTTATACTGCATCCATCCATCCAACTGCAGGGATGATGACATAGCTGCATGCATCAAATTTGCATAGATTTAGCATATTTTTTGGTGAAAGAGAGCCGACATGTTTATTGAGAAAATAATAATGCGCATTTTCGATGTAAATTTGTATAATATTATTACGTAAATTTTATGTATACTAAAACCAATAAATTTGCGTAGCTAAGTGTGCGATTTTACGTCTTTCATGACGTAAAAAGAACCAAAATCTCTACGTAAAATTTACGTAAAAATGCAAAAAGTGACGTTTAATTTGCGCTCTTTTTGCGCAATTTGGCTATCTGGGCATCATAGAACAACTCTCCAAGATAGAGATCTTTGAACATGAAGATGACCTGCTCTACCAGGAAGAAGATGTAATATTCCAACAACAACCCACAGCACCTGATACCTGTCAAATATGCATCAAACCACTTAAGCTCACCAACCTAAACTCCAACTCCATCTATCTGAAGTTAAGACTTTACTTCGGGACATTTGGAGGATCTGCTACTGTCTCCATTAAAAGCAAAGACAACAAACCTGTCGGGGAGGATGACCTCCCAATCCTAGCCCTTGGAAAATTTGTCCCAGATAACCCTGGTGTTGTTTTCAGCAAAGACAAGCTCCAATATAAGACACAGAATCAGGAAGTAAAAAACTGCCTGTGTTTAAAGCCCAGAACAACATTGGCCCCCAGCCTACAGAGGTTCCAGGATCAACTCCGAGCCCAAGTACTCAAACTCTCTGCATTTGAACCAGACCTCAAGATTATCATTACCAACCTTATTATATTAGAACCCTTACCAACAAAACGATAACCTATAGTCCCAATGGAGAAGCAACACTAACCGAGAACACTGACAGAGAACCTGGATGTTACGTCATAAAAATAAGAGTTAGCAGCACAATCCAACCAACTCAACTACCCTTCCGAGTAACACCCAACTCTATAGGGGACATTTCAAAAACATTGAGTAAAATTATACACACTGCACACCACTTTGTCAAAACACTTACACATTCTTCCCTTAACGCCAAACCTTCTCTTACAAACTATATTACTGCATCAAATAAAAAATCGTCCATTGGTGATGCAATCCACCGTATTTCGGAGAAGAACCCTTCCAATTCTGTAATCATAATACTCTTGTCCATCCTTACGATAACAGTAGGTCTCTTGATTTTAGCCCCAACGTTATTACTTATTGTCACTAGGCGTGGTATTATAAATATTGTCCGCAATACGCCTTCCCAAAATAACCCAGCGCTGAGGCTAGAACGACAATCTTACCCAACCCTAATTAACAATTATACCCATGCATAAGCGAAAACAATTTTTGGCTTAACATGCGCACATTACAGGGTTGCAAACTCTATTTTTGTACCCCTCTAACCCCAGCTATAACCCTTGCTCAAAGTGGAACATTTTATTTGGTAGAAAACATTTTTTTTTTAAATATATTATAACAATCCGGACCTTCCCGGGACAAAATGTTTTTTGCCAAAGAAATTTAATGCTAATCACAAATTAAAGGAGGGCAACTCTATTCAACAGCCCCCTCATTTCGATTGATAATCATTTCAATGTACTAACATTTAATATAATAAAACTCAGAAATAAATGCTTTGCTAATTTTATTTTTACATTTGCACACAAGGCTTTGTCAACCTTAGGTCTCTACAGGGGGGGGCAACTTTAACCAGCTGCCCCCACAAAATACTTCAGTGAACTTTAAATTTTTTTTACAAAATTTTTTCCAAATTTTTTTTTAACTCAAGCCCGGAACATCCAAAATTTTTTTTGTTGTTTTTTTCGTGGAAGGGATGATTGTTACATAAATCTAAAGCATGGGTTCTCATAAAGTATGAATTCTAAAGCTCCACGCTTAACCTTCAAACAAAATACTTAGCCCTACCTTTCAGCAGACAAAGAACCCTACATCCACGTAAAAAAAAAACAGATATTTCCGGATCAAACAAACATCAAATACTAAAACATAAACTTTAATATATTTTTCACAAAAACTAAAAGATATAAAAAACTGCACCAATTCTATTTCGTTTATTAAAATAACAAATTGTAATTATATGATTAATAATAAAATTTTGTATTTTTATGAAACCCCTGCACTGGCTCCCTGGCTATACAAAGAACGCAGACCTTGAACAAAACAGGCAACCTCAATCCTGCAAGACAAACCGACAAGCAGTTCAAATCAGGATATGAGCTAGAGAGGTTCCTCCAAGTCTCCACAACAACCTGTTTGACTCCGTTAGAAATACATTATTCTAAACGTTCTTTATTGGCTCCTTTATTGGTTCAACTATTAACTAAAAATGACACTTTAATTCAATTCAAACTTAAAACTTGATTGGCAACTCTTAAATGATAGGTGTTCTAAAGTGGGAAATGGCTCAAATTTGGTCATGTGGCTGGGTACTTGACTGGGTAAAAACGAGAAAATTTTTATATCTAACCAGGACACAGAGAGGACTTGAAACTTCAGTTCACAACTGGAGTCTTAGGCAATCCCTGCAACTTTTGATTTGATTTGATTTGATCTGATTTGACATAATAAATAATGATGGTATCAAAGAAGAGAAAGATGAGCACTGAGCAGGTCTTCTCTGTTTCCATAATCCGACACTACTGACTTGCGTATTAATCCATTCTTGTTGGTGGATTTATTCCTTGGCAAGGAAGATGATATTGGATCCACTACAATTGATTCATTTCCATTCATTTATTTATTTCAGATTTGTGGAGCTTCACTTCCAGATGTTAGGTTTCAGTCCCAGGCCATTGAAGCCCTACAGGTTGGACAATTATTTGTTTTTTCAGGTGTTTATATTTTCTAGAAAATTTGTTTATCTTCCAACCATTTTTACCATACACGATTAAGATTGGGTCAGAAACCCGGAGTATGGGATGGACTTGAGCCTCTGCTCTGACCCTTACAAAGAATGTCTAAAGCAATCCATCCTTGCAAAGTATTATTTGATTTATTTGTATCATGTTAGAAGGGCATCCCCAAAATTCTGATTTGATTTGATATTAGGAGGCCACTGAGATGTACCTGGTTCATCTATTGGAGGACTGTAACCTGTCAGCTAGGGCTGGGCACGTTCCGACTTTTTTGAAATCGTTCCGTTCCGTTCTAGAACGAGGGCCTTCAGCTAAAGAACGGTTCCATCCCTCTCATTCCGTTCTTAGTCAAAGAACGTTTCCATCCCCCCCATTCCGTTCTTAATATAGAACGATTACTAAAACCGGGTTACCTTACAAAAGGGGGTGTACAATTTTTGAAAAATATTTAATTTTCATAATCAATATTTCAATAATATCAAAAAGATATAGAAATAAATTATAGAGAATAATTTCTTTCAACCTAAACCCCCCCTCTCCTTATTCCCCTTCCAGCTCCCATTCTTTTTCTCCCCCCCTTCCTGACCTTTNTTACGCATAATTATATTCTTACGCTTTTATAACCGTATTTTTCCCCTTTCCCCCCCCCCCTCCTTACTTTCCTATGTTATTGTGTCTTGTGTCTAATGTCATTTACAATCATTCTATCTTTCAATTTCAGTTTATTATACATACAGAGAAAATCTGAAATGGAAACACATTTTCCTGATTTAAAATGCGTTCCCAACTTAACGATTTTAATCGTTCTTTTTATGCAATTCCCGTTCCGTTCCGTTCGGTTTTTTTACTAATCGTTCCAATATTTTTAAGAACGCATTCTAAGCGTTCGTTATTTTTTCAGAACGATGGGATCATTCTTGATCGTTCCGTTCGTTCTCGGGAAAGAACGATTGTTCCACCATTATGCGCCCAGCCCTAAACGCAGCTATTCACTCTAAACGTGTAACTATCATGGTGAAAGATTTGAGGCTTGCCCATAGGATTAGAGGAGAGACCTGGGATTTGTAAGATTCTCATCAAACTTCCACGTTTCATCTTTCAAGCAAAATAAGTAAAATATGAAACTGTACAGTATAGCATATTAATCTCAGGTGTTCAATGTTTAAACAAATTTAGAATTGTTAAAATTATATCAAACCTATGTACCTTGAAAATACGCTTAGATGAACAAGAATATTTAACAGTCAAATCTTTGTAAATACCATAGACCAAACTTATCTTTCATGGAGTCCCCTGATGTATGTACTCATGAACCATGTTTTTTTGTCTCTTGTTATGAAAATATAGCGACAAATATTAACAATGATTATTCAGGATTATGGATTATTATAACTTTTCAGAACTAGAGAATGTCTGTGGAAGGAGTGAGGGTCGGGTGAGCCTTGTGCATGGCAGGGACAGGAAGAAGGTTTATCTCTGAGTATGGACGGAGAGATCAGAGTCCGTCCTGTCCTGTCCGTCCTGGGTTGTAAGGCATATAACATATTACCAAGAAAGGAGTTGATAGAGAAATTCTGCATAGTTCTCTACCACAGGCTCAGTAAAGAATTCTTGTCACTTCTAAGTCCGCGGAGTAAAGGTGAGAGGGAGAGAAGGGATAAGGGCCAGAGGAGATTTCTTAAAATACTCATGGAGTTAAAAACAATAAGAAATATTGGTACAAAAAGTATCTAATATGTTGACGTGTTTTAAAGAAAATCCATTTTAACATTGTATGCACAATTCACAACTATTTCTATAAATTTGGCTTGCGGATTTACGGACGTTTTACGGAATTGAGACAATTTTCTGGATAGAAAAATGGCTATTTCTTGTACCATTGTAAATCAAGCATGCGACTTGAAATTAAGAGTCATCTGAAATTACTTTCATAGATTATAAATGATCAGTTATATTACTACATTTTCCACAAATTTTTCTAAAAACCTCTCTAAACTTCTGTATTTTGCTAAAAATTTCTTTTTATGCTTTTTCCTTCTTATCCAATAGTTAACTATGATTCAACTACTTAAATATCATACCTAAGTTTTGATATTTTAAAAAGTTAACATAATTTATTGTTCAGATTCTTGCACAAGTTCTTGATTGACTAGGATGGTGAACAGTTCTTTGATGAGATTCTTGGTTTGATCAAGGTCTGTCAGATAATTGAATTCAAGGAGATATATGATACTATTCTCTCACAAGTTGAGCAACACTTTCACGTATACACGCTTATAGATAAAGTAATATTTGTTAAACAAGGTAGGGGACTATTTAGCTGTTCCTCTATCATAAAAAGCAGTGCCCAGGATTCAATTCATTTGAACGTGGACCCAGATCCTGGATCCACTCTGAAAATAAATCTGGATCCAGGTCATAATCATTTCTTCTAGATTTTCTGAATTTTTAATAAATGAAAAATTTTCAATTCGTTTATTTATATGCTGAAACTTAATGGACCTTTTTGAGATTAGGAAGGTTAACCGTCAAGATTTGGGATATAAGCACAAAATGTTCTTAAAAGAACATGACGCTCTACAAACAGAGGGGTCACTTTATGTATTAAACAGTCACTTAAAGTTGTTCTTATAAGTTTTGTTCCAGTTGCTAGTGTTGGACGTGTACTTCGAGTTGTTAAAGTTCTGGTCCGCCGTAGAGTACAAGAGATTAATAGAGATGAAGGATGGTCTCTTCCTAGACTCCAGTACTAACTGTGAGAACCCACTCTTGTCAATCATAGATATCTCCGCACACATCGGAGAACTAGCGGAGACTGCTCTCGCCTCTGCCCGCTCGGAGCATTCTCCGGACCAGAGCTTTTTCTCTCATTTCATCACGGAGAAGTATATCGTCGCCCAGGAGGTTATGCTGAGGTTTGAGGTAGCTGTGAGGTTGATTCTACCCCAACCATTCTATCACTAGGCACTCTTCTCCTTCTCCTACCTCTCTATTTCCCAGGTAATTTGATGAATTTGAATTCAAAATATAACACTATTGTTTTGATCTCATTTACTTGGTTTATAATCTGACATATTTTAGGTGGCAAAGTATGTTTTAACCCAGAAGAAGCGAGTTATTCCTCTTTTGAAAGAGAGAGGTGCGTATCTAGAAACCATGGGAGATTCTAAATCTGCGAAGATCATCAGAAATCAGCTCAGTTTGGATCAGCTGATCCGAGGATTTGATTCTATATTGGGGGTATGTTGCTAGTTCTTAGTCCTACCTCGGTCTACCAGAGATCAGATTTATTGCTCAGGATGGGTTGGACAGTTGACGAGGATTATATTCTTGACAGACTTTTCATCTCTAAACATCCAGCATTTCTTTCCCTTACCATCAAATATTTCTCAGAGCTAGGGTTGAACAAATCTGATGTTCAGGATATTTGGAAAGGACTCACAGTGGATAGAATTGTTTAATCAGAGTAAGGCACCTAATACATTCTACAAAAGCAAGGCTTCAAACATGGTTGCAGTATCTGATCTTCAATATTTTCTAAAGCATACAATAAAATCACAAATACAAGGATTTCACAAAAACTACCTTGTTTTGTAAATTGCCGCTGATATTGTTTGATTCTTATACGAGACCCCTTTAAAATAATATAAAATTTTTCTATCTTTATACAAAACTGCAATAGTTCTTCACAATTTAAGGCCTTTGTGAAATTTAGAAAAACAAAATACAAGCCTTTAATCTCAATTAAAATTCACTTTTTAATACAAAATGTTAATGTATCATTCTAAACTATTTCATCGTGTTGAGAATTTTTTAAATAAAGGTTCTTGGTGGAAATAAAAGCCAAATGTTTTTTTATTGGAGCCAAAATGCGGGGCGTGGAGACAGAATGGCAGGAGGCTTGATGACGTCACGGAGGCTGGGAGACCAGTTTTGCAGGGCCTGGAGGTAATTCTGAAAATCCAGAGGCTCGGAGGTCATTTTTGCGGGGATCGTGGCGCCTCTGCACCCCCTCCCTCATGCAAATTTTGTTTTGAAATCCATTTTAAGATTAATATAAAGAATGATAATTTTTTGTCTAATGACTAACCGTAAAGTACAAACATTGAAAATCACAATTCTCAATCTAAAGTTAGTGAACTTTATCGAGTAGAAGCCTTTTTTAAAGTATGTCCCCATACTGATATGAATATTTTATCCCCAACAGTTTGTGGTTTGGGGTAACAACCTCATTTATCTAGATACCCCCCCCCCCTCTATTTAACATTTGCTTTTATTCAAACCTAATCAATATTTTTTTATGAATCATATTTTTTATTTTTAACGAAATTTAAATAAATGTAACTTATAAATACTTCGTGTTAAATGTATGGTCAAGTTAAGTTCTGCTTAGAAGTTCGGGACATAAAGAAAATCACAGATTATATTGTTGAAAAGGATATTTTTGATGTTTTTAAACGTTTTATACTTTGCATTTTACGCCTTGAATTATGTTTAAATTGTAAGTAGTATTCTTAAACTCTTTGGGGGGAGGGGATTTCATATTTTGATTAATTTTGGGAGGGGGGGGGGGGTCAAAAATATTACAATTTGTAATATTTTGTTATATACCCTCAAAACATATTTTTTCTTTTTATGGGATATACAAATTCTGTTTGGTAGCAGCGGAGTAAACTGTATAGTTGTACTGTTTGACTCTGGCCTATTGTACAGGTTTTGTAATTTTCTATGCTAATGCTTGTTTCCTATATATAATTATATATATAAACACATTAGAAAAGATATATTTAATTCTTCTTCTATATCACAAAAATTTCTTGTTTCAGGAAACAAAATGTAGTTTCAAGCTTTATTTGTACTTTTCTTCACTGTACTTCGATCAGCATCAGGTTTTTATACTTTTATTCAACTTATCACGCCTCTAATATTTCCCTAATATTAAAATTTCAAATTTCATACCTAATTTTTCTCATTGTAGGGTAATAAAGTTACTTAATCACCCTACATCAGGGTGATCATCATATCCTTCCGACGTAGTAAATTCCTTCAGGTGCGTTGTACAAAGCATATGTATTTTTCTTGTGAAGGCGTCAGTGGAAACAGAAGTCTAGGGGCTTAACATTAGGAATTCATTTCGCAAAACTTTTGTGCAGTTTTTTCGGAACGAAACGCAAAATTTTCCTTTCTTTGCGCCTCAGCTTTGCGCGATAATACAACAATTTGCGCAATCATTCGCAAAAGTAATTTCGCGCAAAATTGCCCTATTCCGCTTTTGCGAAACTCAAGTTTTGCGCATTCCACAATTTCCTAAAAATAAAATGGTTGGTGACGGTGTGTGTTTCTTAGAATTCAATTCTGGAAAAATCTTGTTTTGTCACTTTTAAATAATTGACCAATGACAGTTAAGAAGAGTTCAAATCTCACAATTTTCTCGACAAGTTTAGTTTTGGACATGCATATTTCCTAAAAGTGGATTCTTCAGGCATTGGTTACTTTCTTGCATTATCTTATATGAGGTTAAAAAGATTTCAGAAATTTGATTAAACAAATTAAAGAATATAATTCATACTTGATTAGGCAACGCTTTTAAGGGTCACTTGAAATTATTTAATAGGATTAAAATATTGCCAAGTTTCACACTCTCTAATTTCTATTTTATTAATTTTGGTCCCTTAATTTAAACTTTTTGTAACTGGAAGTAACCAATTGAGTGTAGTATAATCGTTATCATACTCGTAAGTTAATATTTTTTTATGTATGGAATAAATCTTCAGTTGATTAATTCTAAGCTTAGAATATCAATTTTAGACAATTTGCCTAAAAAATTACATTTTGCGAAAAACTTGCGGTTTTGCGCAAATTGCGCAAAAAAATTGCGCAAAACTAAAATTTCGTTTCTTGCGCAACTTTCGCAAAAATTATTTCCAGTTTTGCGCAAATTGCGCAAAAAAATAGCGCAAAATTGCGCAAAACTCATTGCGTTTCATGCTCAAAAATAGCGCAAAAGTTCGCAAATTTTGCGCAAAAGATTTAGCCATTTCGTGGAAACCCTACTTAACATCGAGTTTCTTTCATATTTTATTCTTATGTTATAATTAGGTTTAAAAAATCAGCAAAAATAAGAAAAATTGGAGTTTCTGACAAAAATGTCAAAACTGTCGGATTTTACTGGCCTTCAGGAAACATTTGAGCGGTAAAATTTGGCTCTGTTCTTTAATTCCATTACTTGGTTTATTGTGGGTGTTTTCAAATAAGTGAACATATAATAATGTTTAAAATACAAAAAAGTTAATAAGTTTTATCATTTACAGAGATGATAATCTGGACCTGGAGTTAGAAAATATATCTGATGAATATCTTGAAGCTCTGCTGTCTGAGGATATCATGTTTTGTGGACCTGTTAAAGGTTAGTTTATTAAAATATATTTTGTAATTGTTAAACAAGTATTTATCCCTTGAATTTCAGCTGTTGCCGGAAAGAAGAAGAAAAAAGAGTGAGTCTCAACCCGTCTCAGTGTTCGTAGATCCGCTAGATTTCTCAGGGATGCAAGCCCATCTGAAGCTGGTTCTGTTTTCTCTCTCATGGATCTACCAGTTAAACCTGTCAAAACTAATCAAATACCTCCTAGAGACGAATCATCCAACCAAACCTGTGACGAGAATACGAAGGTTTGCGAAGGAACCGAATTTCAAGTTTTAAAAGAGATAAATTTTTTGTCAAAGGACAATGTATCTACACAAGAAATAGCAATAAAACAAAGACATAAACATAAACGAATAAACCCCGCAGAGAAGGAGAATTGTGAAAGGAGTAAAGCTAAACCTGAACAGAAGAAAAGGAAAAGAAACCCGGTTTCCTTGATGTTTGAGGAAGACGAGTAAGGATTTTTGATCAAGGATTCTTCGGATAATATCAATAATACATGTTGGAAGCGAGTTACACCTGAACCTCGTTCTAGTCCTAATACCTCCCCGGAGAAGTTCATCCAAATCAAACCTAATTTAGTTTGACTCATCTTTGTAAAATTGACTTATATATGAAATCCAGTGTTTTAAAATAGTTTCACAGAAAAATGGCCGCCAGTTCTAACTTAAGGCTATTATGGGGGGGGGGGGATGAACTACTCATACGTTGTGTATCATAAATCTTGAAAGTCAGCGGAAATCCCTAGAGTTTAACTCTCGAACCGCCCCCCCCCCCCGGGGGATTTGTAGTATTATCTGTTGCAATGATTAGTACGATCTTTATTATCCATGTTTACTAATATATCTTATCTATGTTAATGTTGACCCTGACCGGCCATTCCAGTCAGTTCTGTTTACCTGTATAAATTAATTAGTTGTAGATGAAATGTTGTATCACAGAGACGTGTATAGAGCCTTGAGTTTTGGCTAGAGATTTAGAGCCTAGAGTTTTGGCTAGAGATAGAGTCCGTGAGACAATAATTAGACTCTGAGTAGAGTAATCTCGGGACCTAGATTTATTACATAAATAGCTCAAACGGCACCCTGCACTGCACGCACCAGTGAAATCTTTTGATATCAAAGTGAATTGTAATTCCCCTGGAAAAAAGGAAATTCCTGAATACGCCCCTGAAAGAGGTTTAAGACATGTGTTCTTGGAACCTCCTAATAACCCCCCTCCCCTTCCCTCCATTCTTCCTTCTCATGTATAATGTATCTAAACTTTAACTTTTGTTCCCGCCTTTTTTACACGAAAATGTATCTTAATTAAAATAAAATTTATTCATTTACAATTTATACTTTCCTTAAAATTTTTTTTTGTCAAAATAAAATAACACACACTTCTCGTAATTTATAATAACAAACACTTAGGAAATACATAGAGACTAGAAGAACAGAATTTACTGCTTTGCGCACGTATTCATGTAAATCATTTATAAATCTAAAGTTTAAAAAAAACACAAGAACATTGAACAGTCACTAGTATATGAGAAATCGATATATACTGAGTACAAAAAATGTGCCCCTGTATAAATTGCATAATTTTACTGTGGTTTCCCTAGAAAACAACGAATGTGAAACTGGTATCCCCTCTTTAAATCCACGGTTACTTAAAATTAAAAAATAGTCACTTTCATTGATATGCACTAATATAAATGTTTAAGATAATATCAAAATAATGCAATGAAACTTCTTTATAACGTATCCGAGCTGCACTGTGAAAACAACTACTGTGTAATATTGAACTCGGTAATATCTGGTCTCAAGAATGTAAGGCAAGGAAAGTCAATTGCGGTTGTGTATACTCTGTGTACATATTGAAACCAGTTCTCTCTGGGCGGAATTTGTAAACAATAATAGATGCATCAGTGTCCGTTTAGTATCCGAGGAGGTTAAAAGCATTAAATTTTGATAATTTTGATAATTCACATAATAATTTCCTATGACCAGAATATTTCATTGATTTTTTTATGTGAAAGATGGATCCCATGTCAGGCTTCGACAACCGTCTTGTGTTTACATTACCGCCCAGAGACAGTACACTACAGTACTAAAGATGTGTACACTTCTGAAATGACTTTCCTTGCCTTACATCCTTGGATGAAACTGAAATTCAAATGGGGGGGGGTTGCAAGGGCGAGAAGGGTGAATTTCATCTTTGAGAATATTCTAGACTTTTTCATATTTACTATTATATGCAAAATGTCTTGTAAATTTCAAATATATTATTGAATAACTAATGAAATCTTGTGTTAAACTACATATATCGAGCATTTACAATTAAAACAAATTAGCAGACCCTTGTCCTTTTCCAAGTACAAAATATGTATTTTTTCCATTAGAAAATTTGATTTGATGAGATAAAGGAAACTACAAGGGGTGACAGTATTTGGCATTTTTTTTTTGATGAAAATACTCAAATCCACCTTGCGATCGGTTTAAAAGCTTTCTTTAAGGTACATTTTTAAAAAAGATTTGAAATTTTTTTCATAATTTTCAAACTTATTCAGATTTTTTCTTTTTTTTGTGTAAATCAAATCACTAAAATGTAAGTCAGAAAAAAAATTTCGTCAAAATAAATCATGGGGGTATCAAAATATTCGTCTTGAAAAACTGAGTTTAAAAAAGAGTTTTTTAGCCTTTAACAAAACCGATTTTTTTAAATATCGAAAAACGGAGAAATGGACGTTAATCAAGGCGCATCTTTTGATACCCATATCAACGTGTTTTAAATAAATTAAAAAATATGGTCTCTGTTTTTTAAATCGTTAATTACTAAATTTTAACATTTTTTTTATAAATGTTACCTATTATTTACAACTGAAGTATTTTTGCTGGTGCACAATGGATTTGACATTTTCAATAACATAGTTTCAGCCTAAACTAAACTAAAAATTGACAATTTTTACATTTTCTACATTTGGTTAAAAAATCGCATTTTTAGGTTGGGACCTATAATGGTTGCACTAAAATCTAAAATCTCCCAGCGAACAAAATTCGACTTAAACTCGACTGAAACTTGACTTTTTACTCCCAGAAGTTGACTTTAACTCGACTTTTAAGTTGACTTTAACTCGTAAATAGTCGTTCCAGAACTTGACTGTAAGCCGAGATTTTATACCACTTTTGGACGAGTTTTTGTATACTACTGCACTGTCGGACGGATTTTTATAAAACTTGTGGACAAGATTTTTTAAGTCGGTAAAAAGTCGACTTGTCATGCCTAGAAAAGGTCGTGATTAGACACGGTACTGGAACCAATGTAAATTGAATATTGCCATGAGCCTACAGTCCATTAAATAGGAATCAAGTTTATGAATTTGAAATCTTCCAGGTAAAATTTGATTATGTTGAAAAGGTATTAAAGGTACTTAGGTACGTACTGCAGAGAGTTTAGACGCTCATTCAACTAAACAAGTTTCTTTCCAGATTCGCATGGAAATACCCTTTATACCTTTATCTGATTAAAGAGGAGGAAGATATCGTCGTTTCTGTCTTTAAAGAGTTCCCTTGTGAATCAGACATATAACTTTTAAAATGAAAGGATACGCAATATTTTATACACGTCCACAACCTTACCTCTACTAAAAAAAAGGAAAATGTACCTAATCATTTTTTAAACCTGTATGTATTGTACAACACTTAGAGTAACTTAATATTTTTGATTAAATTTTTCTAGTGTTTATTCATTTCATTAAAAATTGATTTTTCAAGAAAAACTTTTAACTGTTAAAAAATAATCAATAAACTACAATTTCTGGATTACCTTTTCAGCGCCAAAATTATGTAGCGAAATAGTTTTGATAATTTGGATTACATTTAATATTTTCGTTGCAGAAATTGCAATTTTTTCTTGCGAAGAAAATTTGGAATTATTTGAGACAATGCAAACTACCGTCTGTTTTTAGAGTGACCCCACCCTCAACCTTGAAGCTGAATCTGAATGGCAACTACCCTTACTACCCCAACTACCGTCTGTTTTTAGAGAGACCCCACCCCCACCCTTGAAGCTGAATCTGAATGGCAACTACCCTTACTACCCCAACTACCTTCAGTTTTTAAAGAGACCCCACCCCCACTCTGTAATTATTCTTTGCGCATGGTATACAATATGGGTATCGATTCTCATTAAATCAATTGTTTTAAGCTTGTTTCTGGCATTCATAACACTCTCCGACCTTTACTATCCTCACCACCCACCTTCTCAAGGGTGCACAATCCGTAGTCAAAAAAAGGGATTTTATACGTTCACCCCTCTACCCACCCCTGGTCTGAATTAAAAAAAATTGGAAATCCCCACCCTTGAAGCTGAATCTGAATGGCAACTACCCTTACTACCCCAACTACCTCCAGTTTTTAAATAGACCCCATCACCACTTTGTGATTATTCTTTGCGCATGGTATACAATATGGGTATTGATTCTCATTAAATCAATTGTTTTAAGCTTTTTTCTGGCATTCATAACACTCTCCGACCTTTACTATCCTCACCATCCACCTTCTGAAGGGTGCACATTTCGTAGTCGAAAAAAAGCATTTTATACATACAGAAGATCGACTGGTACTAGATTCAAACAAAAAAATTCATTTAGAAATATAACAATATATTTGATACTAGTAGCAGACAATACAATATATCTAGTTTTTTAAATAACAGAATATCAATTTCAGCAATAGTTCTTTAAATAAAATGGTTGTTTTCGTCATCCAGAATTTCCACACGAATTTTCGCAGATTTTCAATGTTTTCTTTTGTCGTCTTCCTTTTATATGCTTCCTTAGTAAACCATTCCTTTCTTAGCCGCAATTGGAAGCTGAAAAAAATAATTTATTAAAAAAATACATTAATTTTTTAATTTTTTCTCGAGTGTAAATATTTAAAAAATTAATGATTTTGATTTCAATTAAAATGGATATTTTTTAACATTTATTTTTAATTTATATTTTTTATAACAATTTTTTTTACGCAGTGAATTTTTCTCAGGCTGATGTTGTATCTTCTGTTTAGCTGATCATACATCAATATTCTGTTTCTCTCTTGAAGATCCACTCATTTTAATTCCTTGTAGATAAGGTAAAAATGCATTTTGACGCATATTTCTGCTTTTCTTTCTGCCGAATATTACGCATATTGCCCAAAGCTGCAGTTCTCTGTTTTTGCAATTTTCTTTTTCATAATATTCTTCAATTTGATATCTTGGGCCATAAATTTCAAATCAAGTTACTATTTGTGTTCCACAGAGTTTTCACATATCTCCGACAAGTTATGATTGATAATGCATTATTTCGATTCAGATATTGTTCATATTATTATGTATATTCTTACAGGTCGGAAAAATAAAAGTCACTGCTAAGTGGGGTTTTAAAATTCTGAGGATCCAGTGTCGGAATTCCGTATTGATAATTCTGAGGATCCAGTGTCAGAATTCCACTTTTATAATAACAAATGGGATAAGGAATGTTAGGCAAGGAGTGGATATTTTTGACAAAAGAATTCTTTTAAGTTCATATCGGCATCTTGATGCTCACACATAGAGACATATTCAATTGAAAGAATTAACATCTTTCCAATGGGTTTCGATACTTAATAACATCTAACCAGGCTTGTTATTAAGGATTATATTTAAAGCTGTCAGTAGTAAAATCTGGACCCAGGCTAGGTAAAAACCTCTATTCTCCAGGGTAGTACAACGTTAAAAGATTAATACAGGCCTTTTATGTTGCTTGCAGTTCCGTTTTTTTCTTTTCCATTTATGTGCAGGGGTGTATACTAGAGATGTCAACGATAGTGTAACGTAACGTAAAATGTACGTTTTTGAACGTTACGTTACAATAATATGAAACGTTTGGATATATTCTATATAACGTGAACGTTAAACGTTAACGTTATAGGAGCTCATACCTAACGTTAACGTTAAACATTAACGTTAGATGAACATACCCCCAAAGTTAGCGTTTTGTGGTAATGTAACGTTATTTTTCTAATATCTACAACTTGTTTGACCATAACGTTAAGAAATGTTTTGTTTCCATGTGGAGCTGGAAAGTCTAACGTTTGAAACATTAATTGTGATTTTATTGCATATCGTAAGGAAAGGATTTCTATTTCAAAGTTCAACTTAAAAAAAAGTGTAACGTTGTATAACTGAAAAATGCCTTACTTTTTATGAAAACGTTTTGAAACGTTTTCCCTTATAGTATAATGAAAAGTTCAACGTTTTAAAATGGGTTATTATTTTAATAATAAGGAAACGAAAGTTTTTTAACCAGCGTATAAATTTTGATAATGTAACTTATAACATTTAACAGATGTAATTCTGTAAATCATAAGTTTCATAAGTTTTCTCTGAATACTAAATTGATTAGTCTAACGTTAGATATTTGTCTTATGAAAATGTTGTTCATAAAACGTTAGGCTATGAGGGCTGAGTTTTAATTTCAAAAGTGTAACAATAATTCAGCCAATCAAAACATTTCAAAACGTCTCTAGTCTATCAATGTAAGAGATTAAAATGATAATTAACGGTTTCTTATTTCAAGTTTAAAGGAAGTGTTCGCGAAAAATGAAAGGGGGTATAGGCTTAATGCGATAAAAAAAGCGCTTTTGATCGCTACTAATCTTACTTCTATCTGTTGCGTCTATAAGGAGAAAATTGTTAAAGACGTCTCATACCGAATAACATGGCGTCCATACAAGTTGAGAAAATTGCAACATACGACTTAGACCGTAAAAAATCAATTTAATTTTAAACAAAACATTCAGATATTACAACATAAAGTCATCGATTATCTTTCGCCACATTTATATATAGTTGATTTTTCATAATATGTTTTAATTGTTAACAACTAACTTTATTTGATATTTTTTAACCCCAAACATGAACACTGAAAACATTTTTTTCGTGGTTTGTAAAGCTAATGCCGCTTTTTTACTCACTTTGTAAGTAACATAAAAAAAACACAAAAATGAACTAAAAATTCGCCACAAATTATAATTTTCTAATCTCTACATTTTTGCAAAAGTGGTTTAACTTGCCAAATTTTAATTCATTTTATGAAGTGTCCCAAAAATGTCTATTTTTTAAGCTCGCCAAATACACGATGATAATTTCAAGTGATCCTCCATTTAAAGAGGGCCATGCTCGATTCCCAATGGTAATGTGCATACCTTATTGATGGTTTGAAAATACCAGCGTTTTCCTATTATCTAAATGTATGCTGGACATGCCACTCCATAAATGGAAGGTGACTTGAAACATAATTTTTTTTGCATGGTTCATGATTTAGGATGAAAAATACTAAAGTAGGAATGTAATTATCACGGAAAAAATCTTGTAATGCTTTCATTTAGAAACAATATTATTTTTAATGAAGTGTAACGTAAGAAACGTTAAGGCCTGAACATTTTAATACAACGCAACGTGTAGAGCATTTTTTCAAATCTTTCTTAGAAACGAAACGAATAAACAGTTTTGATTGTCAGTTGTAAAAAAGTGAAACAAAAAAGTTTTCACAATAACGTTTCGATAAATTGTAACGTAAGAAAAGTTTTAGTAAATTTTCTAAACGTAATTAAAAGAGTTTATATTGGAAAAGTTAAGATAAAACGTAACGTTAACAAAAAATATTCTTTGCACTGAAATGCATTGCAATGTACAAAGTTATGCCCAAATGAAGTTTTATGAAAGCAAAACGTTTGTCACCTATTAGTTTTCAAATCTAGTGAAAGTGTAACGCTTTAACGCAACGCGACGTTGGGAAAGTTTTTTAAAACAGGAAATGCAAAAGTGTAACGGAGCTTACTTTTTTTTTGCTAACATTTACTAAAGCTTAACGTTGTATAAGGTATTCAAGTGCAGAAAATTCATTACGTAACGTTACTCTATACCATAAAATTTCATAATGGGAAACTAACGTTTCAAACGTTTATACTTTTGATTAACACTATCGTAACGAAAGCTAAAATCTAGAAAAATCAAAACGTTGACATCTCTAGTGTATACTGTAACTATATATTTAGATACGTATTACATTTTATTCGTAACTGTACAGAGTTCGCCAAAAGGTATGAGACTTCATTTTTCAAATCGTCTCTGAAATCTCATGCTTTTTTACTTACCCTGTGACTACCCTTTTCCAGAGACGGGGGAGTTCAGGGTTTGAAGTTTTTTTATACCTTAGGTCCTGTTAGGAATGGGTTAAGGGACTCCTCCTCCTCCTCGAAGGGGTTCTTTGGTAGATCAATACCATCGCTCTGAAATAGTATTTTTTCTCCAAATTTCAAGAAAAGTCTTATGGTCCAAAAATAAAATTACAAAAAAATTATTTTTATTGCTTTCAAATGTTCTGAAACATTACAGAAAAGTAGTTTTTGGCAAATTCACAGAAAATTGTTTATGTTCTGATCAACCTATCTAGTTTGTGTACAGAAGTAACAAAAAGTTTCTTTGTTTGCAACCGTTATTAATGTTATTTTTGTTTTTCAACAATAAGACCCATAAAACTGCGGAATAAAAGACGACATTTAAACAATTGTGTGCGTATTTATGTTATTACAAAGCATTTAGTTTTACATGTAGATATTTACAATCACTTTTTAATCATCTGAAGTCTAAAAGTCGTCTTCCTTTTCCACATTTTTATGCGTCCCACTGTACACCTGTCGTTTGCTCATCCCGTAGAGATCCATTTCTTGTTGAGGACAGGAAAACATGTGCTCAGAGTCACACATACAGGTCTGAGAGGCCTAGATATACAGATATACAGTCTGAGGGGCCTAGATATACAGATATACAGGTCTGAGAGGCCTTGATATACAGATATACAGGTCTGAGAGGCCTAGATATACAGATATACAGGTCTGAGAGGCCTAGAAATACAGATATACAGGTCTGAGAGGCCTAGATATACAGATATACAGGTCTGAGAGACCTAGATATACAGATATACAGGTCTGAGAGGCCTAGATATACAGATATACAGGTCTGAGAGGCCTAGATATATAGATATATAGGTCTGAGACGCCTTGATAGATTGATATACAGGTATGAGATGCTTAGAAAGATAGATTTACTTTACCGGCCTGAGAGGCCTAGATAGATAGATATATAGTTTTGAGAGGCCTAGATAAATAGATATGTACGGGTCTGATATGCCCAGATAGAAAAATATACAGGTCCGAGATGCCTAGATGTGTACATATACAGGTCTGAGAGGCATAGATATACAGATATACAGGTCTGAGATGCCTATAAAGATAAATATATAGTTCTGAGAGGCCTAGATAAATAGATATACAGGTCTGAGATGCCTAGAAAGATAAATATATAGGTCTGAGAGGCCTAGATTGATGGATATACAGGTCTGAGAGGCCTAAAAAGATGGATTTTGGTATGAGAGGCCTGGATAGCTATACTTGTCTGAAAGGCAACGTAGATTAATAGATATACAGGTCTGAGAGGCCTAGATATGAGAGATATACAGATCTGAGAGGCCTAGATAGATAGATATAGGTCTGAGAGGCCTGGATAGATAGATATATATGTCTGAGAGGCGGCGTAGATCGTTAGATATACTGGTCTGAGAGGCCTAGATAAATGAATATATATATATATATACGTGTAAGAGTCCTAGATAAATTGGTATACTTAGGGTTGAGAGGCCTGATGGATAGACTATAAGAATAACGCCCAGTTCTGTTTGGTTGGGCGTGCTTGTTCTTTTATTTTTAATAGTTTGTTCCTTTCTGTTTCATTCCGTTCGTTCCGTGAAAGAACGATCGTTCCCCAAAACGACACCCAGCCCTAGGAATCGAATTTGGTTAAGAACTGGTCATTAACAGTATAAACTTTTTTAAGTAATCAGGAAAGAACTAAAAGAAAAGATGTTGAAGGATTGTTATAAAATCAAGTATTTATTCCCTCACCTGGTAGTGTCGACTGAATTCAGCTTTATTTTCAAACTCCTCAATGCAACCATCCTGAAATGGATTCATTTCATTATTCATTATTCAGGTTATTCAATACATCATTCATGATTCTTCGTGTATAAGCTATTGTTCATAAAATCTATAAGTTGAGTATGTAATGTATATAGTATACAATATCGGGTACAGTCCTATAACGTGAGGATTCCCTTTTAACATTAAACTTAGTTTAAGATAAAGGATACAATCCCATTATTTTAGTTTAGAATAAAGTATACTTTTACTTTAGTTTAAGATTAAGGATGCAATCCCATTATTTTAGTTTAGAATAAAGTATACTTTTACTTTAGTTTAAGATTAAGGATGCAATCCCATTATTTTAGTTTAGAATAAAGTATACTTTTACTTTAGTTTAAGATTAAGGATGCAATCCCATTATTTTAGTTTAGAATAAAGTATACTTTTACTTTAGTTTAAGATAAAGAATGCAATTCCTTTTTCTTTTGAAAAACAAATACAATCACTTTTAATTGTATTTGTAATTAGATGAATACAGTTTCTTAATATAGTGATTTTTAAAATTGTGAACAATTCACCGGAAGGCTGTAAAAACGTTTGAAATCTTATAGAAAATGTTTTTTTTAAAGTATACAATCCGATGAATATTAATTCAAAAACGCATACAGTCCCTTTATTTATGCTAAATGTGACCTGTGCAGTGTAACCTAGAGGGCAGGGGTTAGGTGGGTCACAGTAGGCTGGTAGAAGGGAACTCTTTCGTCGGGTCTCTAAACAAAATTATTTATTAAATATAAAGAATACTTTATCTAAACTCTAATTTGAAATTAGTATATCTAATGTTGGAGACCTTTGATTTCTGCAAGATCAATAGTCATCGTTTTGAATACATCAAAGTCTCCATCAGGTTGCCAAAAATGTAAAGCAGGTTAGCACTCAATCTCCTTATTGTTTAACCCTATCCCTGCTGGGGTATATTTGAAAACCAGGATACACTAGGGGGGTCAATTTGACCCCCCCCCCCCTAAATCCCATGTTTAATGACCAAATATGACAGAATATACAAATGAAAAGCTCTTGCTCTACTTTTAGAATCTTCAAAAGAATTTGCAAATTTGAAATTTTTTTTAACTTTTTTGCAAAATCCAGTTAAAAAGTAAAATGTTGGCAAACAAATTTGTTTTGAAAAATTTTAAATAACCTGATGTGTAATTCATGTGCAAATTTCTTTTGATAGGATGTATGCAAATAATTTGAAAAATTTATGCAATCCGTTTCCTTATGTCAAAGGTTTTCCAAAAAGCTAAAAATTATCAAAATTTGACAACTGAAAGTGGGTCAAAACAAAGATTTAGTTTGTTACAGGAAAAAAGTTTTCATTCAGGCAGTGTGCCTGAGGACTCAGACAGTAAGTAAAAAGTATTTAGGAAAAGTCAGAAAATTTCAACAGTCTCGGACCAATACTTTTTGAGTTATGTAAAAAAAATGTTTAATTCAGAATTGCAAATTTTAAAAATTTACTTTCTTACTTAGGTTCTACTTTATTAGTGATTGTATGTCCGTACACTTTAAGGTTATTAATGTACGGTTAATACTGTCCGGTTCATACTGTACCTGGCTTAGGTTCTAATTTATTAATAACTTATGTCCTGACACTGTACAGTTAATACTGTACCTGGCTTAAGTTCTTATTTATTGGTACACTGTATGGTATACTGTACCCGGCTTTTTATACTGTACCTGGATTAAGTTCTATTTTATTAGTAACTGTATTTCCGTACATTGTACGGTTAATACCGTACCTGGCTTAGGTTCTATTTTATCAGTAACTGTATTTCCGAACACCGTACGGTTAATACCGTACCTGGCTAAAGTTCTATTTTATTGGTAACTGTATCTCCGTACACTGTACGGTTTATTTCTATTTCCGTACACTGTACGGTTTATGCTTTACCTTGCTTAGGTTCTATTTTATTAGTAAATCTATTTCCGTACACTGTACGGTTTATGCTTTACCTTGCTTAGGTTCTATTTTATTAGTAAATGTATTTCCGTACACTGTACGGTTTATGCTGTACCTGGCTTAGGTTCTATTTTATTAGTAACTGTATGTCCGTACACTGGTCCCATTTCATCTACAGTATTACCTTCAACATCACTGAACAAAAGTGATTTTCTTTTTGAGGTATTGAATGAAAACAAACAAGCTTTAAGAGGTTCCTGTTTCCAAAAAAAGATGTTAACAAAGTTATGTTTTTACGATCATAAAGGTAGGTCTTAAAAGATCGCTAACGACCGCAATGCCCCACATAATAATCTTTTTGAAATTAACCAACAATCTTTGTCGATGAAAATTAAAAATGTTTTGTGTTTACCACTAATTATTGTCGTTAATTACTAGTAATCATTGTCTCTAATAATATATTAACTTACTAGTAATCATTGTCGTTAATAATATTTAACTTAATTACTAGCAATCATTGTCGTTAATAATATTTTAACTTACTAGTAATCATTGTCGTTAAGCATGTCGTTGATCAGGTTTCCTGAGAGCCCCTAAGAAAAAATAATGTTCAACAATTTAAAATACAAGGGCCGAGCGCTGCAGCTAAGGCAATATGATTTTATTAAAGTGGTCGATCTCTGCGGCTAGTGCAGGCTGATTTAAATAAATGGGACTGAGCTCTGTTGTTAGGGCAGGCTGTTTAAATGAAGGGGGTCAGCTCTGATGCTTTGATCAGGCTTGGTTTTTTATAAAATAGGCGTCGATTGCTGAGGCTAGGGCAGTCTGATCTATATAAAGGGGCCGAGATATGCGGCTAGGGCGAGCTGATTTGTATAAAGTGGTCAAGCGCTGCGGCTACTGAAATCTGATCTATTTAAAGGGGTCACGCGCTGCGTCTATGGCAGGCTGATTTATAAAAAATGCCGAGTGCTGCAGCTACGACAGTTCATTTCTATAAAAAGGGCCGAGCGCTGCAGCTATGGAAGTCTTATTTGTATAAAAAGGGGCGAGCGCTGCAGCTATGAAAGTCTTATTTGTATAAAAAGGGCCGAGCGCTGCAGCTATGGAAGTCTGATTTCTATAAAAAGGGCCGAGCGCTGCAGCTATGGAAGTCTGATTTCTATAAAAAGGGCCGAGCGCTGCAGCTATGGAAGTCTGATTTCTATAAAAAGGGCCGAGCGCTGCAGCTATGGAAGTCTTATTTGTATAAAAAGGGCCGAGCGCTGCAGCTATGGAAGTCTGATTTCTATAAAAAAAAAGGGCCGAGCGCTGCAGCTATATCTTTACCTGGTTGTAGTCGGCAAAGCTACCACTAACTAATGGTATAAGGCAGAAGATCAGCATCTGAAACAAAATAAAATAAAATTTAAATTCTTTAAAAGTTTTTTTTTAAACCCTCCCGCAGACCTTTAGAGTTCGTCAGATTTAGATTAATTCCGTGGTCGAAAATAAAATTGAGTAACCAAGAACTTAGTTATTTCTTAAATCTTAAAGTTACCATAGTAGATATGGAGATTAAGTGTTGAAGATTAAATCACAAAAATCACCTCATGATGATCTCATTATATGGGTTTTGGATTATTTCCATTCTTGAAATTATTCGTTATATTCGTTATTTAATAATCATTATTTAATATTCATTATTTAATATTCATTATTTAATAATCATTATGGTTTAATTCTTACTTATATAAACTTCCAGCAGTTTACTTTTTTTAAAGTTTTCTTACAATAATTTATATTTTTTTTGAGGACGTTAATCTTTATATTGTGAGATATTATTTTGTAAAATGAAGACATCAAATGAAGAAACAGATGGAAGTTTTGTACATCACATATGTACAGAAAATTAATATAACTTTGAAATATACATTTTTATAAAAAATGTACTACGGATACAGATGAATAAATTACAAAAAAAATATAGAAAAGAAAAAATATAAAATATTGAATTATGTTGGTACATATGTTTTGATAATCAACCATTGTTTAACGACGAAGATTCTTTAACCATGTGAGTTAAACAAATGTTGAAAATATAAAATATATAAAATCAGATTGGAAAGCTTAACGTGTCATTTAACCACGATTTTCCCCCAAATTTTTCCCAAATTCAGAAACCAAACTTTTTTAAAGATTTTCAATATGTTTAAAAATCAAATCCTCATAATTTTTTTTTGTAAATATTGCAGACATAAATTGTTAAATATTAGTAGATTTATCACAAATTCTTGTCAAATTTGCAATGTTAAAAATACTACCTTCTGCTGAGAATGAATCCGACTATTGATTGATACTCTGCAATCTACAGGTGATAGAAAGCTAGATAGATAGATAGAGGAGAATAAAGAGAAACCAAGAGAAAGCCTCGAAGTAAACCAGGAGAAAGCTAGAGGAACCAAAAGAAAGCTTAAATCTCCAAAAAGTTTTTTTTTCAAAAATTTGTTTTTTTGATTAACGGCAAGAGAAATGAATTTGCATACACAAATATAATGCACCCCAACCTCGCCACTTAATATTGATACGACTTTGTAATCTCGTAGCTCCTGTAGATTGAACTAAAGTCTACCCCTACAGGGGTAAAGTTACAGGAAACATTAATGTACACTTGTATTTCTAGTTTTAGAAATATCTTACTGTGATTTAAAGGTATAAATGAACAATCGATGAGAATTTTGTCAATTACTTTTTAAAAACCAAAGCTAACAAGTAAAGAGTTTGTAAAGCATAAGTGAGTGAGAGCGGTAAAATCAAAGCCCGAGGCGTTGCAACACTTCAAAGTCGACCCTGTCTTGAATATTGATGAGACTTTGAATAAGCAGGCGGATTCTATGAAATCTAGGAACAAAAGATCGCTTAAGTCTCTCGAGTCTCTCTAGGAAGAATTTTGGGATAAGTAATGTTTGAAAATAGATCATTAATAATCTCTTAACAGATAAAACGTAGAAAACTTCTATTAAGATTAGTAAGATTATTAGCGATCAAAAGCGCTTTTTATCGCATTAAGCCTACACTCCCTTTAAAAAAATTTAATCATTATAACGTTCCTATTATGCAAAAATTCACAAGTATATACAAAACCCCGAAATCCCCTGAACAGTGTACATTTATTGTACAATGTACATAAACTGTACAGTGTGAAGTGTACAGTTTGTCCCATACTTTCCCTGTGATTTCCATGGCGACAGTTTGTCTGGCAAAATCTTTGGCGGATTTCCAAATTTGCTGGAAATTCCCTCACACATTGGCCTCAGATCCCCCCCTCACTCACGTTCCCTTCCTGGAAATTCAGCGGGGGGTCTCCTCTTGTCAAATTTACTTTTTTTCTCCTCCTCCCCCATGTCTTTGGACAGTGCCCCCCTCCCCTCTCCTCGGCCTTCCCCCCCTCGGCCTGTGCCCTAATAAATGCACCATTGACAACGCATGTGTGCATTGTCTTAGTTTAAAATGCAGAGCGTAAACATGAACACACTTAGCTTGCAAATTCAAGGCTGAATATGCGAATTTTTGCAAATTTTCGTAAAAATCTGGATCACTACTTCTGTCGCCAAATAAAAATAATCTAGTTTTTGGCAATAAATTATGTGACCTGATTTGACCGTACTAAAAGAACAAAATGTAACAAACTTATTACTTTTTATTTTTGCAAATCAGATTTGCAGAAATTAGAGCGTGACAGAGAGTTTTTGCAAAAGGCATCCTAGGAATAATTTAAGGAGTTTTGCAATTTCCCCCGGCCTCTTCCGGTCACCAATTTCTGTTTGTTTTTGTCTCCATTTGTCTTTCCTCCATGTTGTTTTGTTTCCAATTGTCTTCCCTCCATGTTGTTTTGTTTCCAATTGTCTTCCCTCCATGTTGTTTTATTTCCAATTGTCTTCCCTCCATGTTGTTTTGTTTCCAATTGTCTTCCCTCCATGTTGTTTTGTTTCCAATTGTCTTCCCTCCATGTTGTTTTGTTTCCAATTGTCTTCCCTCCATGTTGTTTTGTTTCCAATTGTCTTCCCTCCATGTTGTTTTGTTTCCAATTGTCTTCCCTCCATGTTGTTTTGTTTCCAATTGTCTTCCCTCCATGTTGTTTTGTTTCCAATTTGTCTTCCTCAATGTTGTTCCAATTGTCTTCCCTCCTTGTTCTTTTGTTTCTAATTGTCTTCCCTCCATGTTGTTTTGTTTCCAATTGTCTTCGCTCCATGTTGTTTTGTCTCCAATTGTTTCCCTCCATGTTGTTTTGTTTCAAGTTGTCTTCCCTCCATGTTGTTTTTGTTTCAAGTTGTTTTCCTCCATGTTGTTTTGTTTCAAGTTGTCTTCCCTCCATATTGTTTTGTTTCAAGTTATCTTCCCTCCATGTTGTTTTGTTTCCAGTTGTCTTCCCTCCATGTTGTTTTGTTTCCAGTTGTCTTCCCACCATGTTGTTTTGTTGTCCTTTTACTCCGTTGTTGTCCTACAGTTAAACCCCAAATAAGCCATACATTGAAATAATTCAGCAAATGTCGTCTTCTTCACTTTCTGACGGAATGTTGCAGATATTTAGTTTTTACCTATAAATGATTATATGGATGGAGCTCTTTGAAACTGTTCCTGGAGTTCCCACATATTTATGGCTATTTATCTATTTTCGCAAATACTGAAATTTACGTAAAATAGTATAAAACCCATTAAAAAATTGACAAGACGACATTTGAGAAATTCTTTCGATGTATGGCTCATTTAGGGTTTAACTGTATTAATATATATATATATGTGCGTGCATCCATCTTTCCTGGAGTTCTTATTTATAGCTTGGCTTCTAAATTGTTCTGCTGCAGTCCACCTTCCGTCAGTAAATTAAATTCTGGACTTATATCATTTATACGTTATATTATAAGTGTAACATACAGTTTAGATTACATGAAAAGTACAAAGAATGAAGTACAATATAAAAGGAAAAGTACAAGGAATGAAGTACAATATAAAAGGAAAAGTACAAATAATTAAGTATAGTATAAAAGGAAAAGTACAGAGTACGGTATTAAGTAAATTAAAGGGAAAATTATAGTTTAGAATGTTAATCAGAAAGTAATAAAATTTAGCACATAGTACAGTACACGATTCAAAATAAAGTAAAGTAAAAAACTACAAAGTATTGCACAAAAAGTAAAGCAATAAGTACAGTTAAAAGGAAAGTAAAATATTGAAATTAAACACCACCTAAATTATTTAGATTAAAGCTTAAAGTATAGAATATAGTGTTAGATAAAAAGTACAGTATAAAGTAAAGTACAAAGTACAGTAAAAAGAGTAGAGTTTAAGTTACACTATAAAGTACAGTACATAATAGTGTATAAAGCAAAGAACAAGGTTACATTATAAAGTACAGTATAAAGTAAAGTACAAGGTACAGTATAAAGTAAAGTATAAAAAAATGCAAGGTACAGTATAAAGTAAAGTACGAGTAAAGTGCAAGGTTCAGTATAAAGAGTAGATAGAGTACAAGGTACAGTATAAAGAGTACAAGGTATAAAATCAATCAATTTTGTTTAAAGATTCCTACAGCTAACAGTTTACCCTGGATTTCCTTGTATATACAAACATGAAACGTACTTTTACGTACTTTTATCATTTTATGTAATCAATTGTCAAGGCAAAAATGCGCTTTTATCGTTGTCTGAAAATAATCATTTTATATTGTATTTAAAGCCATAAGATTTATAATCATTACCGAACATAAAAACTAAGTTTTAATGATTTTATTTGATAATTATATTAATCTTTTACTTTTATGCCATTTTTTTATTTACGACATCTTATTTATTTACTATTTATATATATATTATATTATTTTTAAACTTTATTCAAAAATGACTTGCTAATTATGATTGAAATGAACGAGAATAACGATTTAAGTTTGATTCCCAGAAATTAAACATTTAAGGAGTTTGCATGGAGAACTTAAAGCATCGAGTTTTGTAATCAAAGTGTTATATTGTTTATTAATCAAATGTAGCATTTTTTAAATTTAATTTGCAAAATTGCATATATTTAAACTTCCACATGGATATAAGATAAGGTTGGCAAAATGTGTTTGATAGCTGATACTCATATTCTAGGACTGGAGTTAAGGACAGTGATACAAATATTGCAAGCTTTTATTCAAAACCTATAATGAAAAGGAATTGAGTTTTTGCTACAAACTCAAATTTACTTATCCTTATATTTTTGCAATCTGAGAGTGGAAACCTTTGATGTTTCAAACTTATACTATATATTTGATCTGACAGAATTAATAGTTTGAAATATCATAGGTCTATAGATAACGGGTTGCATTGGAAGGAATTAACGAATTGGATTTTCTAAAATGAGCTATAATATACTGCTTGAAACATCATACAGTACTTAAAGTATTTTACAAAACTTTACTTTACAATTAATTTTCATTCGCAAAATATACTTTTCACTGATTTGTATTATGCCAGACTTAAAGATTTAAAGGGACTGTAAAGGAAAAATGAAAAGGGGTATAGGCTGAAAGCTAATCACTTTTGCTCTTGATCGCGACCCATGAAAGTTTTGTAAAATACTTTAAGTACTGTATGATGTTTCAAGCAGTATATTATAGCTCATTTTAGAAGAAAACACACTTGTAGTACTTCAATTATATTCATGAAAGAGTTTTTAATGATGTATCCAGAATTTGAGGTTTCTTGCTAACTCCATCATTAGGGGGGCATGTACTATTGAAAACGGTGCCTTAAAAGGTTTGCTAGATAAAGAATGCATGTAAATCCATCTTCTTTTCGTTGAAAGTTGATTTTTTTCAATTGTGGTTTCTCTATAAAATGACTTAGGTATTTCTGCTTCAGAATTAAACATTTTTTACTTGATTATATAAAGGTACTAGCTCAAGAGCCCGGCGTTGCGCGTGAAATAAAAAATTTCAAATTTTGAAAAAATAAATTCATTTTGAAACAAAATTAAATTTTGAAAGAAAAATAGAATTTTGAAAAAAATCTGTCAACGGCATAGTGAGTTATGATCAGACATACTAACATAATAGTTATATAAATTGATATCAAATAGTTCACTTCCCCTCCTCTAAACTCCGTCTTACTTGCCTCATTGTATAAGATTGATGCTTGAAATTTAAAAATGTAAATTACAATTTGAAGAATTCAAAAACCGGTTCTCAAGTCTTGACGCACTCGTTATTTCGTCAGGAAACAGGTACTTTGCAATCCACAGTAATGGGTGGCAAAAATAAATTTCATCATATTTATGCAACACAAGCGAAAAAAAAACGCTCCCCCTTCCCCTATCATTAATTATATTTCGAAACTATTTTTTTTATCTTATTGAATAATGTTAATGTGAACATTGCAGATCT